TCAAATTGAAGAACGGAGACCCCATACTGAGTGGCGGCTCTCCCGATGTAAGTATTTGAATCATTATGATAAAGTTCTTGGTCCATTGTCTCACTGTTTCCTTGTGTCCGGATCTTATGTCGCAGGAGTTGAGCCATGGAAAGAAGATTAAAGCCAAGTCCCTCGATGATCAGGACATCCGTAACGTGTAAGGAAAATCCTGTGTCCACGGAATCTAACATGACGCTTCCAATTGACTTTGCCATTATCGTTTGTCCATTTGCGACTGTGACAGGTACTAGAGGACGAAGCGGACGCTGATGAGTAATGAAGAGTGTCTCGGCAGAGCACATGTGTTGTCCACAGCAACTGTCAAGATACCAAGTATTCGGTCCTGCAATAACTCGAGCAAGGTTAGCATTTACTTGAGGTAAAACCATGTTCTCTGGTTGCTCGTTGTCGTCGTCATCGCCGAAATCAGAATCTGTTGCATCAACTGTTGTAACGCAGCTAAAGACTTGTTTTCCTGATGTTGCAGGAGTTGTTGTCGGTGGATTCTGCTTCACTGGGTGCCTGAACTGACTGCTGATGTCCCTCTCTTTTCCTATCAGCTTGAAGCTTGTTGCAAAGTATTATACTGTGTGCATCTCTTTTGCAGTAGTGGCAGAAAAACTGATGTTGACTGCTCCTTTCTTGTTACGTGCGGTTTGCAGGTCAAGATCTTGCTGCTCTGCTTGAAGGATGGAGCACATTTCTGCTTCCGAAAGATTTGGTTGAAGACGAAGAAGGGATCGACACTGCCGCCATTCTGCTCCAAGACCGGCAAGAAGGATTGTTATAAACATGTCCTTCGGGAAGTATCCGCCGCACTTTTCCAGCTGGTCACGAAGTGTTCGAGCTCTGTTAACGTAATCCGAAACGTTCTCGTTGCCCTGCATTTGTACAGTTGTCAGTTGTGAGAGAATTTTACTCACGGAAATTGTTTCCTGTGCCATATACAACCCCTTTCAAATGTGTTCACGCAGATTCAGCTGGAGTTAGACTGGTGTGAAGCGAGCGTATACCGAGCTGTTCTTTCAGCGACAGATTACGGATAAGGACGGTGTAAGCGCTGTGTGATGCATGAAGAAAACTTTGTTGTTCCATCTGTATCCCCGTGATAGGATAAGAATAATCGCCACTGAAGAACGGCCACAATCCCGCGGATTTCGTGAGAAGTTCAAATTTGAAGCTCCAGGCATAGAAGTCGACGCCATTAAAAGGTATGGTTGTCTTGATCTGTGTATTGCTTAAAGTATTTGGAGCTTGAAATACTGTTCCAGCGAATGAAGTCTGCTGCTGTGGAAAATGTTGTTGAGGTTGCTGTTGTTGCTGCTGTTGAAACTGTTGTTGTGCTTGATGCTGTTGTTGAAGAAACTGAAATTGTTGATGTTGAGCAGGTGTAAACAAAAACGAAGAACTTGAGCTTGGAGCGGCTGCAGCTCTTGCATAGCTGGAGCCGTCGATACTCATTCCACTAAAAGCTGCTGATATTGATGCTGTTGCGTGTTGCTGTTGTGTTGCAAGTGCAGAGGACGAAGTCCCCGGAGGATGCACAGTAGGCAAAACTTGCTGCTGTTGCGGCATCCCAATTGAAGAATAATCAGGTGGAAAGTTTCCAGCTGCAATGTTACCACATTGACCAATATTGACTGTTGGATTTGTAACACTCGTAGGTCCATTTGTTGAGGAACCAGATGATGGAACTGACGAGACGATGGTCCAGTCATGATTGACAGTAGTCGAATTGACAAAAGTCTTAATTCCAGACAGCTCTCATACCATGAAAGAATTTGAAAGGTGGTGCAGGAGACTTAGTCTAGAATCTGCAGACACAAGTACTTGAAGTAGAAAGTAACACTAGAAGTACCACCAGTAACTGCCAGTATTAACAAGTTGTAACACAAGAGTCAGTGTTACAGCCTTGCGATACTTCAAGACTTAACCAAGGGTCTTTGCTGGAATGGTATGTTAGAAGGCTAGCTTAGCTAGGAAGCTAGGAAAGGCATGAGGTTTAGCTAGGAGGAGCCATGGAGTGGCGTGAGGTTTAGGAAGGAGAAAAGTTGAGGAGAGAAAAGAGGGTTGGAATAGAAAGAGAGAGGCATACAAGGAGGGGATTGTACCCTCTACAGTAAAGTTCGGTAACCTACCAAGCCTAACAATTATATAACTCAATATATAATTTAACATGGTAGACTAGTAAGACAGCGGAAGTCTTAGAACTTGTAAAGTGTTGACCAGAATTTACTGAAGAACAAGTTAACAATTGAAGTTGTACAAGCTACTTTTATATCTACTGGGAGTACCTATTCGATAATGTACCTGTTCAAGCTATTTGCGTTATGCGCTCTAACCGCTACTGAAAAGAGCGCGACTGTTCGCGTGACTGAAACGGCTTACCGATGTAACCATCCAGACAAACGCTATTTGCTGACATCATTCTACGGATGCTATCTACAGGGTAACTCGACAATATCTAGCTGAAGTATGACTTTATCACAACACTCCAGAGCCATGCGCTATTAAAGCGAGAGACTATAATAATGACCCCCCTTTCTAGTTGGGCCCAGCTTGAAAGTGGGTGTACAGTAGCCAACATGACTCTGACGCACCAACTTAGGCTGGGATGTCGTTTCGCCACTGGGCAACTGACCGGGATGAGAGGTGTGGCTTGGCAACGAAAAAATACATGGGCGACTAAAATGGAATACAAAGTGACGCTGACGACAAATGTGACGGATATGCAAGAACGAGAGCCAATCAGGGGCACGCGTACAAATCCCACAGAAAAAAAGTGGGGGTGTGATGGGCTACAGCAAAGCCCAAACGCAGGGAACTCATTCAACACGCTTGGATATTGCTCGATGCTAGCAACTACTAATCTGAAATACAACAAGAGCCCAGGGCGTGCACATGGAGCTCATGACACTAGGGGATACACTCGCGGAGAGTGCTTAACGAGCAGCCAAGCGCCTAGCGCGACGAACAACAGCTCAGCGCCTAGCTCGATGGCAAGCAGCCCTGCGCCTAGCTCGATGGCGAGCAGCCCTGCGCCTAGCTCAACGGTGAACAGCTCTGCGCCTAGCTCGACGGCGAACAGCCCTGCGCCTAGCTCGACGGCGAGCAGCCCTGCGCCTAGCTCGATGGGGAACAGCCCTGTGCCTAGCTCGATGGTGAACAGCCCTGCGCCTAGCTCGATGGCGAACAGCCCTGCGCGCTCGACAGCGAACAGCCCTGCGCTTAGCTCGATGGCAAGCAAGGGAGGCGACGCAGGTTTGGCGCTTGTCGCGAATGGAAGGTGCCATGACGAGCTGCTCATAGCTGGGAGCGCCCGGGCGAGGCCGCGCTAACAGGCGCTACCTGTCGGACCCGCAGTGAGGTTGGCCCGAACAATGTAGAGCCAGCGAGACAGAGGGCGGGAGAGGAGGACATTGGGTTTATGGGGAGACGAGAGTGAGGGAGAGCAAGAGAAAAAAGGGGCGGGAGTGAAGGCGGGGGGGAGGAAATGGGAGCGGGGGAGAAGGGGAGCAGGAGAGAAGGAGAGAAGGGAAGGAAATAGGAGAGGGAGAGAAGAGGAGCGGCAGAGAAGGAGAGCGGGAGAGAAGGAAGCGGGAGAGAAGGGGCGCGGGAGAAGATAGGAGCGTGAGAGGGTTGGATCGGGAGTGGAGGGGATCAGGATAGAGGGGGGGAGGGGGGAGAGACGGGGATCGGGATAGAAGGGGGCGGGAGAGAGGCATGTGTTGAGTAGCGTGGCTGGAGTTTGGGAGGGTGAGAGTTGGTGAAGGCGGGGGAGAGGGGGGGCACGAGTGAGGAAGTTCGGAAGAGAGGAAGGGTGGGATGTAGGGAGGGTTTGAGATAGGAGAGGGGGATGGTGAAAGAGAGGGGGTGGGAGATAGGGTGTGTGGAATACAACGAGGGTGGGTGATAGCAAAGGTTTGTGAGCTCAGGAAAGGAGAAAAGGCACTTTGAAGTTCTCCACCTCTGCCGCAGCCACGTAACCCCTCTCCTGGGTGCCTGGGTACTTGGATACCTGAGTACTTGGGTACTTGGGTACTTGGGCACTTGGGTACCTGAGTACTTGGGCACCTGGGTACTTGGGTACCTGAGTACTTGGGTACCCGAGTGAGTTGAGATGGATTGGGTTTGCCATTAGTGTGCGGGGATTGATGTGGGAAGTATGAGTGGAATATGAGGGTTGACCCAAAGTGGGGTAGGGCTGAGTGAAGTACAAGCGGAGTATGGCCAGTTCCCCCCTTCGTGCACCCTGTGCTGGGCCAAAGGACGTAAGGGCTCATTACTCTGCCCCTTCTTGCAGCACCCTTTTCCCCCTCTCACTCCTCCTTTTCCCCCTCATCCTTGAACCAACCCTGCCCCGGCCCAGCTCTGTAGCATAGCGCCAGGTCCAAGGCATGGCCAGCCCCTACCGGCCTGAAGGACACATCTCCCCGCCTCACTCTCATATCACCTCGTTCCCCTTCTCCCACAAGCCTTTTCCCCATCACCTTGAGCAGAGGCCAGGGAGGGGTGCAGTGGGTGAGGAAGGGAGGAGCTGAGGGCAAAGAGGAGGGGAGGAATGGGTGAGGTCCAGAGGTTCAGGGCGGGGTCTCATGAAAGGTGATGAGAGGGGGTGACAAAAAGGGAGGAAGATGCGCTTGATGGTCGAGGGCGGAGGGTGTCGAAATGGGGAGCAGTGGGCTTAGGACACAGGGATGGTCGTCAAAGAGAGTTTCTCTGCCACGCAGTGTCAGGTCGTGCTGTTGTGAGTAGAGTAAACCCATTGACTATCTACACGAACATAGGAGTCTAGTCTGATGTGGCCTCTAATGTGTGATATTAGATCATAGAATTGTCCCCAGTCCACAGTGCCCAAGCCATCGAACAGAGTTCTGGAAATCAGCATCCTAAGATCCCCAATTGTATTCAATGACCACACTTCCACATGCGTTGTACTCATTGTACAAATGAATATATCATGTGCACAGAATGCAGGCTTCGATTACGCCTTATAATGCACCAATGCACCAATCAGATCTTTTATACCCCCCAAACAAGTCACCCAAGCAGTCAAACCAATCACACTGTCTCTGGACAGGCAGCAGAGATGTGAAGTGATGACACTTATAAGTACAGTTGCCATGGAACTTGAGTGCCTTGGAACAAGGGCAAGACCGACGATGTGCCCCACTAGGTTATGGGTGTCTGTGAGTACAAACAAGACATGCAACTGCCCTGCTAACTCCAGGCACTGTGTGCATCGCTCCTTGGCACCAAGGAGCTAGTGGGAACGTTGATAACAAAAATGGGAAGCCCACCGCGCAAATCAACCACTCCCAAAATTGGCAGCATGCTTGGGCCGTGACCACGGGTTTTATTTGACCGTAAGACATGAGACACCAACGTCACAGAACCTGGAATAAGGGAGAGGGTTGAAGAAGAGAGAGGGGGGTAGAAGGAAGGGGGGGGGAAAGGTGCACCTGGAGGGGAGAAGGCGTGGAAGAGGCAGTAGGGAGAGCTGGAATGAAGGGTTGGTCGTGCGGAAGGAAAAAAAAGGAACAGAGTAGAGGGGGGAAAAGGGAGAGGAGGGATGAGGCAGGTGGGGGTTTGAACGGGAAGCGGGACACTGCGTGAGAGGAGAGACTCAGGGATATGAGGGAAGAGGTGAGGGGGGAGGTTGCGAGCAAGGGAATGGGCAACAGGAGAGTGAGGGGGGCAGAAACACAAGACACGGTCTATAGCAGAGGAAAGGAACGAGTGTAAGTATGGAAAGAGTGAGGGGAGACAACGAGCACATGGACGGCAAAAGGGAGCCGCAAGGGGAGAAAGGCTAGACAGGATTAATGGGGAGGAGGGACAGCCTCACCGAGGTGAGGGAAGCAGGGAGAGGAGGGGAGATGGTAAGAGGTGGGGATATCTTAGGGGAGTGGCGAGGGAGAGTGGGTGAGAGGAAGGCAGGCGAGGTCGGATGTAATTGGGTGAAGATGGTAAGGGTCGGAACATATGGGGCCGCGGGGTCATGCCAATCGGTAGAGCAGCGAAGGAGTGGGACTCTACCATTGGGGAGTTGGGGGAGTGGGCGATTCGCCGTCTGCCATTGGGCAGAGGGGGCAAAGGGGATTGCGCCTCTGCCTGGGGAAGAGGTGGAAAGGAGGGGGGAAAGAGGGGGGGTGGACTCTGATGAGGGCAGAGGGGGTTAGGGAGAGGGAGGGGTGGGGGGACCTTCTCTCCTGCTCTCCTTCTCTCCCCCCTCCTTCACTCCCGCCCTCCTATTCCCCCGCCCTCCTTCTCCCCCGCCCTCCTTCTCTCCCGCCCTCCTTCTCTCCCGCTCTCCTTCTCTCCTGCCCTCCTTCTCTCCCTCTCTACCTCGCCCCCGCCCTCCTTCTTTCCCACCCTCCGTCTCTTTCGCCCACCTTCTCTCCTGCCCACCTTCTCTCCCACTCCCCTTCTCCCTCGCTCCCCTTCTGCCTCGCTCCCCTTCTCCCTCGCTCCCCTTCTCCCTCGCTCCCCTTCTCTCCCACACCCCCCTTTTCCCAATCCCCTTCTATCCCGTTTCCCTTCTCTGCCTCTCCCTTTCTCACGGCGCTGAGCGGCTCGCCGCCGCGCACGCTGAGCCGCTCGCCACCGAGCTCGGCACTGAGCTGCTCGCCGCCGCACTCGGCGCTGAGCTGCTCGCCGCCGCGCTCGACGCTGAGTTGCTCGCCGCCACGCTCGGCGCTAAGCTGCTTGCCGCCGCGCTCGGCACTAAACTGCTCGTCGCCGTGCTCGGCGGTAAACTAAGCTGCTCACCGCCGCGTTCGGCACTGAGCGGCTCGCCGCCGCGCTCGGCGCTGAGCAGCTCGCTGAAGCACTCGGCGCTTAGCTGCTCGCCGCTGCACTTGGTGCTAAGCTGCTCGCCTCCGTGCTCGCTTCTAAGCTACTCGCCGCCGCGCTCGGCGCTAAGCTGCTCGACGCCGTGCCCGGCGTTTGCCGTCGGACGCCTCGTGGCGTCCAGCTCGGCATTTGCCTGCTAGTGAATACGAGCTCCGTGCTGGCCTGCACGCCCTAGCCGGCGTGCCCGGTAGCCACCGTACGAAATCGAGTCGCCGTCGATCGTACATCGTTAGCTGTGGGCTCGGGGTACGGCCCTAAAGGCGGTGCTTTGCGCTAGCATTATGGCAGGATATTCCATATGCTGTTTGCCTACTTACAGTAGGGCTGGCTCGGGGATGGGGAGTCGGGCCGCGTCACAATCTGCGCGAGCTGCTGCTACGACTTACGATAAGCGGGGAATGCTGCGCATTCTACGCTAGGGCGTTCTGCCTAGTGTGAACTGCCCTGAGTTTTTCGGGCTCTAGTCGTGAACCTAGGTCCAACTTGAAATTCGAGTTGGATCCAGTTGAAACAGGCACAACCGTGCGGGCTGCCCTACTGTACCATCGCAGTTGAATGCTCGTCGGCTCATGCGATGCTTTCGCTGCTGTGTATTCCTATGTCGATTCCTTTGCCTTGTTTTTGGTTGGATGCAGGAGTTGGTCGTTCCCACGCACCAATCGCTGTCCTGCGCGGCAGTTTTCCCTCCAACCCGGGGGTAATAAGGAACAGTGACTCCGAACCCCCTCGCTACGGGAGTTGGTCCCTTAGAAAAAATCCCACACAACCCCCCTTTCTCGCTTTAATGGACCAAGGATAAATAGTGGACACAAATACATCAAGTGATATACTGCTGATATGGCCTATAGTATAAGCATTCCTTGTATTCCCTTGAGAAGTACAGTACACAAGATACAGCATTGCTTCCACGTGTCATTGCTTGTTGAGGGTCACTCGGAAGGACTTCACAATCTGCAAGTATAGAACAGAGTCGTATCGAACAAGTCAGCACGCAGCAGGCAAAGGGCAGGGCCAGCAACACAGAGATGGCTCTTATCAGCAGCATGCTAGCCTGTTAGGGGAAAAGGCCTCTGCCTCACCTTGTCCACTGTTGGCTTGAATGTAGCTGCTTCCTCTTCGGGGTACTGCATGCGCAGTTTGCAGCGGAATATTATAAAAAATAATCAGCAGGCATTGGTATTTGCGAGATTTTGACGGACGTCGAGCGGAGCACAAGAAACAGAAGGTTAAGATGAATTTCCACCTGGCCAGTGAACGTGTAGAGGTTGTTGTACCACACATTCTGCCCCGTGGCTACAGCGGAGTAGAGATGAACGCAGGGCTCGTTGGGCTTCTGCAGAGTGTACTCCACCAGGTAATTGTCTAGGAGAGAGGCAAAACGTGGGCACGGGGATAGGTACCGCGTGGGACGGAAACAACAGAGTAGAGGTGAGCGCAATATGGTTATAGATATATATTTCCGGCCCCGCAAGCAGGTTCAGGAAGCACCTTTGGTCAATATCTCTCATTCGGCTTCAACTGCCTTCAGCCCGGACGATGATGGTCAGCTGGAAACGGAAGTGGTTGATAAAGAAAACAAACCCGAGAGGAAAAACACTCGATTTCGTACTAACTATAACCAATGTGCCCTCCCTCCCGGGTATCTCTCACCATTGGCGGACTTGGCTCCCAGCAGCACTGCCTTCTGCCCTGGACTGGGCTGCCAGCTGCGGTCCAACCCGTTCACCTGCAAGCACGTGCCAGGACAGAAAAGGAACGGTGATTGGGAAAAATATCCTCGGGAGATTTCTTAGGTGCGTCATTAACCAGCTGCAGTCCAACCCGTTCACCTGCAGGCACGTGCCAGGACAGCCAAGCATTGGTGCACGAGGAAGCATACACTTATTTGAGACGAGCATTTAGGCGTCCTATTAACCAGCTGCGGTTAAACCCATCCGCCTGCACGAGTCAGCAGAGCCAAGCATATCACAACGAAGCCTTTGCCACATCCACATGAGCACCTCAACCGGACCTTGAGCAGTTGCTGCCACCAGCGCCTCCGCAAGGACGTCCCCTGGGCGAAACGACCCGAGCAGTCACTGACACCCACATGGCTAAACCTGAGCAACATCCCATCAAAAGCTGAACCACACCCCAACGATCCACCAGCAGACCTCAAAGACCCACCAGCGTCTCAACAAAGGCTTCCACAGTGCCAAACCGACTCGAACAGTTGCATCTTAACCAAACAGGAATCCTGACCCTCTCCCCAGAGACCCACCAGCGTCTCAGCAAAGGCGTCCACAGTGCCAAACGACCCGAGCGACGTGAAATCGGCCGCCAGGGGGGTGATGAGAATGGTCACTGCGGGGCACGCAGAGGGGACACGAGGGGGATCATTAAGATGGTTGGTCACCGCGCAGTGCACTCTGAGGGTACATGAGGGGGGTCATTAAGATGGTTGGTCACTGCGCAGTGCACTCTGAGGGTACATGAGGGGGGTCATTAAGATGGTTGGTCACTGCGCAGTGCACTCTGAGGGTACATGAGGGGGGTAATTAAGATGGTTGGTCACTGCGCAGTACACTCTGAGGGTACATGAGCAGGGTAATTAGAATCGTTGGTCACTGCACGGTGCACTCTGAGGGTACATGAGGGGGGTAATTAAGATGGTTGGTCACTGCGCGGTGCACTCTGAGGGTACATGAGGGGGGTAATTAAGATGGTTGGTCACTGCGCAGTGCACTCTGAGGGTACATGAGGGGGGTAATTAAGATGGTTGGTCACTGCGCAGTGCACTCTGAGGGTACATGAGGGGGGTCATTAAGATGGTTGGTCACTGCGCAGTGCACTCTGAGGGTACATGAGCAGGGTAGTTAGAATCGTTGGTCACTGCGCGGTGCACTCTGATGGTACATGAGGGGGGTAATTAAGATGGTTGGTCACTGCGCGGTGCACTCTGAGGGCACATGAGGGGGTTCATTAAGTAGGTTGTGCGCAGTTCACGCGGAGGGGACGTGAGGGGAGTGATGAGGGCGGCTGGTCACTGCACGGTGCTTGCTTGCAGAGGGGAATGAGAGGAGGGGCAAGGATGGTGGTCACTGCAGGGTGCACGCACAGGGGACGAGAGGGGAGTGATAACGATGTTCACTGCACGACGCATGCAGAGGGGGCATGACGGTGGTCAAGCCGGATGCTACCACAAGTTCGTGCGGACCCATGAGCTAGCAGACCAGTTTAGATACGCTAGATTTCATTCAGATTCGGTGCTTTTCCACTTCCAGGCCAGGCGGCACCTCACACCCACGAGCGTGGCACTACAGAACGTCCTTCCGCTCCCCAACCGTACACATCCCTCCCCCCTTTCCTCCGGTTAGGTAGGTTAGTTTTGAGACGCCTCAAAACGCTCCCTCACCTTACACATCCCTCCCCCTTTTCCCCCCCACAGCTCCCCCCTCCTCCCCACCAGGTGACCCACCATTAGCGTCCGTGCGATCCGGCGGGTGAAACGCGATGACCTTGCGTACCCCTGCCATGCCCTCACTGCGCTCCCATCCTTCACACACGGGCAAGGCCGTCGGGAATAAAAAGGACAACGAACGCGGAACAGAGGGTTCGGTGTGGAGAGGGGGAAGACAAGAAGATACTAAGCGAAACGAGATCATGCACTGGTACATCTCACTATTGTCGAAAGCTCATGTGACTTCCATTCAGGACAGACTCATTTGCAGGACCAACTCAACCGCAGGACCGACTCACCTGCAGGAACCTGGAAGGTGTAATTCTCCTTGGGATTGTCGAACGTCACTAAGTCCGAGGCCTCTGCAGGGGGACACGCAGTGAGAGCATGAGAGAGAGGAAGCTGGGACATGGACGCTGTCGCAATTACGCAGTCGCAAGGACGTTGTCGCAATGACGCTGTTTCATGTTCCATAATTCCGGTCTTTTTGCAGTCGACCAAATTTCTTAAAGCTTCCTTCCGACGTTGAAGTTTTCAAGCCTATGGCTGTAGCGTACCTCCTTCCGCGACTGCTGCTCCCGCGAGAGTCAGCGTCAGAGGAGCTGCCAGGGATCCGGCCAGCAGGTCCCTTCGGCTCACGGCGCCTGGTCTGTGGTCGATAGACGGTCAGCCATGTCAGGGGAAAGAAGCAACACGAGATGGAATGAAATGATTAGGTGGTGTTCCACAAACGCAATGCGTCACACCCATGTAATGGATCTGACACGCATCTACTTTCTCTTTTCTTTTGGAGTCGCTAAGAAGGTGGAGCTTGTACCGTGTGATGGGAGTCGTTGACTCTGATTCGGCTCTGGGGCGAACTGGTCCGACGCTACGGACAGATGGCGACGCCTGATTGGCTGATTTGGGGGAGACCCGAGCGTACAACGCGGAGACAGCCGATGACGAGGCGAGCTGAGACAAGGAGGAGGCCATGATTCGCGGTATATTGGTGATGCTACAAGACGTTAGTGTAAGGCTGCTCCCTTAAAAAAAAGGCGTTAGTAATATCTACTCAGCTAGTATGCCTCTGAAGGAAGGAATATGACTGAAGGAATATGTGTTTGAGTCATGTGGCTGGCTGATCAGTGACCACTGATCAGTCATGAATTCCTGGAATGTGACTGCCTAGTCAGGCAGAATGGCCCCAGCATCCCCGATTGTGGCGCATGCATGCACTAGACTCGGTACATGCATCCAAGCGAAAAATGTAGGGGTAATTTGTGGGTTTAGGAGAGTTTGCAACGAGAAATAACGCATTTTTGAAAAGTAAGGGCCTAGTAGCTATAACGAAATACGTTTTGCAGGGTGAAGGTTCTGGCTTATGAGGAGGAATGTTGTAACATCCACTGGTATTGGTTGTTGTGGCAGTTCGAATCAAAAACGTTGTTGCGGTGGTCCTATTCGCGGTTGTGATGTTTCGTTTTGCTCAGCAAGATGCTCGTTTTTTTCCAGGTTCAGCGAAGACTGCCCATCAAACGGCAGGTTCTCGTCGGTGTACCAATTGACGCATTTCACTTGCGAGAGTTTCCTGATGGTAATTGTAGTTCATATGAATTTGCACCAAATTTTTGACAAGGGCCCATTCGTCGAACAGGGGGGTGGGCAGGCAACTGCTAGCTGTCTGCCAGAATGTTGGCGAGAGGCCCTAGCCAACCGCATCCTTCCAGGTGTGGCAGATGGGAGTTGGGGGTGGCGGAGCGCGCAAGGTCGAACCGAGGCTGCGGACCTGCCATCCCGCCGAGCCCGACAACCTGCGCCTTTCGGACAGGGAGACGGTGGTTCCGGCTGCGCCCACATTCAACACCTGCGCGCACCTAGAAAATATCACCGAAACTCCCGAGGTGGGCAGATTCGCAGGTTCGGTTGGATGGTGTGGGGATGGACGCGACGCGATTTGGAAGCGAGGTCCTGGAGTCTGTTGGAGCGCACGTGAAGGATGATGACAGGAGCAGAGCAGAGTCTCGCCCCGCTCTGCACTGCGGTAAGGGTTGTGGACGAATTTTTTTTTGCTCGAAGGCTGAATGCTGAACGTCACGGGCAGGAAAGAGCTGGGTCAGACTGGTTTACTGAGCGCCAAGTCGAAGCGAATGGCCGAATTTGCACGGCACACCGACCAGCGAACTTCGCGAAGAAGCAAGACGACATGATGCGCATTCCGCTCAAGTCCAACATCGTTCGCACGAGACTGCCCGTGATGGGACACGACCAATAAAACGTCACGCTTCCTTCATGTGCGTTGACCGCGCGAAACCGACGCTTGGTGTGCGGGGGTTCCTTCCTTCCCCTCGCCCGCCCTCACTGCTTCTGGGAAAACACTGTGCGCCTCGCCTCGCATCGCATGGAGATTGGCGAAAGGTGCTGCGTTGCGTCCGCGGGCTGGAAGAACCGACGAGAGAAATTCCGAACGACGAACGAACAATTGCACGCCTGGCCTCGCGCGTCCATGTGCCTTCTGTTGCTCTCACTGCTGTACACCCTCCCTCCCTCTCACCCTGAATTTGTCCAAGAGCTCCTCACATCCCACCACCGCCACCCTTGTGACTCAATTCCAGCTTTCTTCCCGTCAGAAGGGAGGCGAGTCTCACTGCTCAACATAACTCCCATTTTTGCCATTGAACGGAGCACCAAGAACGCTGAACACCTTTCAACGCAACAGACGCTCTGGGATCGCCCAAACTTCTCGAGAAGCACGCAGGCAGGCATCGATCCAACGCCATCTGACACGATTTTCCTAGTCTAATACAACGAGAGTCTTCTCGCCTCAGCCATAGTCCGCTGAGAGCATGGAGAACCGAGCGAGCGTAGCCATGGCGACCACTCTAGTAAACGCGGCGGAGAGAGCCCCCCTCAAGAGACATTCCACTGACTCAAACGTGCAACCAAGACCGCAGCCTCTCAAAAAGACCAAGCGAGTACGAAGAGGCGAGCTAAACCTAAACGACCGCCGAAAGCCAGTTGCCTCCTCGCCGGCAGTTCCTTATCCTTCAGGGCTCGCTTTCCCTCGGCTCTCTGCTTCACTCCCTCCCGTCCTGCCATCCCTTCCTCCTCCGCTTTGGACGACTCCCCAGCCGGCCTATTCGTGGACCTCTATGTCTCCCCTTCAGCATAATCACATGCTCTTCAATCACTACCTCCAGGGATTCCAATATCCGGGGTTTCAGGGCGGCTCGTGGGCGAGTTCATCGACGCTTCCTGCGCTGTCGCCGCTGCCGCCGCGCCACGAGGGCGCTGACTCAGCACCAGCCGAGCCCGCCGCCAAGGCTGAAATGCCACGTGTCGATTCGTCGACGCACATCAACAGCCTCGTGGCGCAGTACTCGCTCGCCCAAGCAGGCGCAGCCGCCGCCGCCGCCGCTTGCGCTGGCCACCCGCTTTCTCCCGCTCAGCTCGTCTCGCCCCGGGCAGGCTGGCCGCACTTCGCGGCGTATCCCCCGGTCATGGGACCTATGGGACCTATGGGACCCATCGCGTGCGTGCCTGGCTCCGACGCCATACTATCGCCCAAGCCGGCGGCCGGCAGAAGCGCCTCGACTGACGGAAGCCCCTCGCCGTCGACGGGTCTGCCGTCGTTGCTCGAGTCGCCGTTGCAGAGCGAGGTCACTCTGCCGGCCGAATCCGACGGCGAGAGCTTCTGCAAGGTCGAATTCCTGGCAGAGCGAGTGGACGGAGAGGTGAAGGTAGAACCGCCGGAAGGGGCGGAAAGCGCGGAACAGGATTGGCGCGTCACGAAGGGGACTCGGCGCGCTATGCAGCTGTGGCTGGAGGGCGGCGCAGAGGGCGACGTGAAGGGCATGGGCCCGTTTGATTGGCTGGATGAGCCGTCAGGCGCGGAGGAGGCGACGGGGCTTCCGCACTGGGTGCTGGCGGAGCTGGGGGAAGGGGGCGCGGGGAAGAAGTCGGGGGAGGCGGTGGAGGAGGAGGTTTACCGCGTGCTGTTCCGCGCTGACTCTATGGAAAGTGCCACAGGCGAGGAAGTGAGAAGCGAAACTCGTGAAAACGAGAAGCTCATGAATGATGCTTCTCCCAAGTCCCCTCTACAGTCACATGATTCTTGCCGCCAGCAGTTTGGGGATGAATCACCTGCTATGGGAATGAACACGACCGCTGCTGAAGCGCCTGTGGAAGGGGGACATGTTTTGAATCGTGTTTCCCAGACAGGCTGTGCTTTTTCTACAAGTGTGAAGATCGGCCCGTCATCTGGAACCGGGCCAAATGATGAGCCAATTGCCCAGGCGCCCGAGGATAACACCAATGAGGATATCTGGCGAGACGTGAGTGCCTTGTCTGACCTTTTGGCTGCATCCAGCAGCCCCATTCTGGATTCCGAGCTGTGCCTGGAGCTGCAAGCAGGAGGAGACTGGCAGTTTTGAGGAACAGTGCTCTGCTACTGTGCGATATACTTGTATACGTTTGCACACTCATGTGAGAGTGTTCCCTGTAAAGTTGTAGAGTAAAATGTTTTGCATCTTGTATGATCTTCCATTTTTGGACACCATATAAAGCTTTCGCCCCTTAGAGCTACTGTTACCATGGATGAGCAATGGGCAGTGATCTCAGGCGGAATTCAGGAGGAAAGTGTATGGTGGTGACTGATCACCATGTAAGGAAAATCTATCCATGACAATAGAAGCAGTAGCTAAAAGTGTCGGTGCTGGGATTCGAGCCCAGGTCTCCACGGCCACAACGTGGGATTCTAACCACTAAACTACACCGACACGTGTAACATTGGAACTAGTATTTTTTATACTATACTGTTGTCGCTAGTGACCTTTTTGGAGCCCGTTCCCTTCACCATCCCCACCTGACCAGCGATCATCAGTTCTGGGGAATAGTTGGTGCCGCGGATAAACTGGTCTCACGTACTCAAGGCAGTTGAGTTTTATTCGGCTCTGCTAGCAGCAGCTGATGCATACTTGCACAGGTAGCAGCAGCTCAAACCTCGGACGGGAATTAGCCATGGGGATCACTGGCCTGCTTCCGTCGCTCAAGTCCGTGACGCGACGCACGCACGTTCGAGAGTATGCCGGGCGGAGGGTAGCCATTGACACGTATTCCTGGCTTTATCGCGGTGCTTTCTTCTGGAGCATGGAGCTGTGTCAAGGCGAACCATGTGATAGGTACGCAATGCCGTAAGATTGAGTGGAGGTATTTTTAAATGCAATGCCATACGATATAGTAGAGATCGCGAACTTCTGACCACTACTTCGTGCAGATCAGAATCCAATGTGGATGATCCTTCCATACGCCAGTTCAAAACCGGTCGTGCATTATGACAACCTGGTGGGGTTTTACACGAGAGTTAAAAAAATACGTTTTTTTCCCATGAAAATCAGAAGCAGGTGGCCTAGTCTTGTAGTCTCGGAACGTCCTTGTCGAGATAACTACCCCATTCTTGCCGACAGTTTTTTTTGCTTCAATTTGTTGCTTATGACACACCAATGGCCAGCGTGCAAACAGCGTCGACAGTCAGTTAGGCGAGCAGGCAAGACTCGTGAGTGTATTTTTGAGGTGCTTAAAAAATAGACTCCTAAAATATAGGCGCCTAAAAAGTAGACTCCTCACGCAGGCAAGACTCCAGGAGTGCGCGTTTCGGGATTTCGCGGCTCAAGTGACAGAGCGACCATTGTTCCATTGTGACAATCGAAGCATTTAGTTGCGTTCAGGCACATCCAGTATTGCATGAACAGGGTCAGAATGCTTAAAAGGAATGGCGTCATTCCCTGGCATGGTGCACGCAGTCATCACGGAGGATTCCGACCTCATCGCCTACTCCTGCCCACGGGTATGCATCTGACAGCTCTCCTTAGTACCGCTCTTTACCGTGCAGCACTTCACACAATCCCGTTAAGCACCCTTCAGCCTGTGTGCCAGTGGCATGGTGCATGCCGTCATCACAGAGAACTCGGACCTCATTGCCTACTCCTGCCCACGGGTATGACAGCTCTCCTTAGTACCGCTCTGCACCGTGCAGCAGCCCGTGGCTACTGTCAGAATCCCTTGTCCATCAGCCATGTGTCTTGTGTGTGTGGTTCTATTCTTGTTAACAGCCTGCGATGCCTGTTTCCTTCTCTGTCTAATCTGTGTGTGCTGCTTTTCCTGCCATGGATTGATCGCCCTGCTCTATGCTGCTGCACCAGGTTCTGTACAAGATGGACAACTCGGGGAACGGCGAAGAGATCGAGTACGCCAACATAGCCCAGTCCCAGGAGCTCGCCCTTGCAGACTTCACTCCTCAGATGGTCCTGGAGATCTGCATTCTCAGCGGCTGCGACTACCTCGACAGTCTCCCCCAAGTCGGCCTCAGGTCAGGACGGCCCACAGCTGGATCAGCAAGCACAGGGACTACCGCTCGGCGCTGCAGAGCGCGGAGCTGGATGGGAAGCTTGTGGTGCCGGAGGAGTATGAGGTGGCGTTTCAGCAGGCTCGCTGCACGTTTTTGAGTCGACTCAAAAGCGTTTCAGCAGGCTCTCTGCACGTTTTTGAGTCGACTCAAAAGCGTTTCAGCAGGCTCTCTCCACGTTTTTTAGTCGACTCAAAAGCGTTTAGCAGGCTCTCTCCACGTTTTTGAGTCGACTCAAAAGCGTTTCAGCAGGCTCTCTGCACGTTTTTTAGTCGACTCAAAAGCGTTTAGCAGGCTCTCTCCACGTTTTTGAGTCGACTCAAAAGCGTTTCAGCAGGCTCTCTCCACGTTCCTGCACCACAGGGTGTGTCACCTCGTGGATGAGCCTCGTGGATGAGCCTCGTGGATGAGCCTCGTGGATGAGCCTCGTGGATGAGCCTCGTGGATGAGCCTCGTGGATGAGCCTCGTGGATGAGCCTCGTGGATGAGCCTCGTGGATGAGCCTCGTGGATGAGCCTCGGTGATGAGCCTCGTGGATGAGCCTCGTGGATGAGCGCATGCCACATGTCAACCCACTGCCGCCCACACTCCTTGGGCCGGATGTGGACCTGTCGTTCCTTGGGCCATATCCTCGTCAATGCTCCCCCGCTGGTTGCCCTTCCTCCCTTGGCGCCCCTTGTGTTTTCCCTGCACATGTTGAGGAGCGCGTGTCTTGCATTGCTCGACCGTCTCTGTCTCTCATGTGATGGGATTTCCTTGACTGCCTGCATTAACTATTGCCTGCTTGTGTCCCCTCTTATCCTATTCTTTCGTCCTCTCTTCTACTCTCCGCTTCCCTCAATTGCTCCCTGCCTCCTTCGTGTTCTCCTTGTCCCCTTCCTCTTTTCACTTCGTATTCTTTTCTTTTGAACGATTTCCACTGAGCTCGCTCCAAGCCTCGTCCGTGCGATCGCTCTTGGCTGCGTGGATCCCATCACATACACACCATTCAATGTAAGAATTACTTACAAGCCATTGAAGGTAGGATTCATAAGGAGTCTGTCGAAAACGCCTCCACCTGCAGCACCGCATTCAATCACCCACGGATTCACCACATTCATTCAATGGGTTGCACTTGAACTGATCAGCTAGGGGACATGCTAGCTTTGAGGTCTGTTCTTGTGGAGTTTAGAGGACGGACGTGTTAGGTAGTTCCCATAGCTGCACCTCTGCTGCACCTCTGCTGCATCTCTGCTGCACCTCTGCTGCATCTCTGCTGCACCTCTGCTGCATCTCTGCTTTTCCCGCTCCACAGTTCCGCTGTACCAGCCTTTTGGCACCTTGCTGTGTACTAATCTCCATATGCTGTTCACCTGTTATGCAGGGTGAACCCGTACCCAAGCCCCTGCCAGCAGCACGATCACCTTGACTGAGGCAGCGCACCCAAGCAGGAGCAGCAGCATTGGCAGCAGCGCCAGCAGCAGCAGGGGGCCAAGGCGCTGCTTCCTGCGGGACACCAGGGAGTGGTAAGTGGGGGGGATCGGCGGCGCCCAAGCCACTGCCAGCAGCACGATCACCTCGTCTAAGGCAGCGCACCCCAGCAGGAGCAGCAGCGCCAGCAGCAGCAGGGTGCCAAAGCTCTGCTTCCGAAGGACACCGGGGAGCAGTAAGCGGGGGGGGTCGGCAGCGCCAAAGCAGCTACCAGTGTGGAAGAGCAAGCTACCAAAGTACTCTGGTGAGTTCTTTGCTGAGTAGGGGTGGGGCCACATGGGGAGTGACTATACTCGTTATAAACCTATGTGTCATTGCATTCGTGAACAAACTTACACACCATTCCACTGCAGAGGAACGAGCTGCTTAAGTACTGGGTTCACGGGGGAACTGTGTCTCGCTCACTGCACAACTGACGCACTCTCTCAACCCATATAACACAAACTGGAGTTCTCCCGTTCCTCACCAACTGCCCTTTCCTCTCTTCCCCCCTTTTGTACCGACCTCTCTCCTCCAGAATCTGCACCTCCTGCCACTAAGAAGCGGTTCCAACCACCACGAGGCTCCCCCAAAACGCGTCAAAAGCCCTCGCCTCGCTAACCCTCTTGCGTTAACCCCATGCCCGGTCAATCAACCCTCTCCTCCAGTCTCTGCTGCTCCTGCTGCCAAGAAGCAGTTCCAACCGCCACGTGGCTCTCCCCAAACTCCTCCCACCCAATCGTTCCTCGATCCATCCCATCCCGAACCTGCCGCCGAGCCTGCCCTTGTCAGCAAGGCGAAGCAGCCACGGCCCAGGCGCTCCGTGAAGGCATAGGCCGCTGGAGAAGGGGGTGCAGACCTGATGGTGGGGGCAGAGTTGGCGCAGTTTATGGAAGGGATGTGTCCCAAGGAGGGAGAGGAGGAAGAGGTGGACCTGCAGGGAAAGCATGACCCGCAGAATGAGCACCATGGGTTCGAGCAGCAGCAACAGCAGCAGCAGCAGCAGCAGCAGCAGAAGCAACAGCAGCAGCAGTCAACAGCACCTTCCATGCACGGTGGCCAAGGGCTGCTGCGTCCAGCATGTTCCAACGGTTCACCCCGCCTCACTCCGTGGGTGATTTTTGAGTCGACTAAAAAATGTTCCAATAGTTCACCCCGCCCCACTCCGTGGCCGAGGCTGGGAACGCACCTCCGTGCAAGCACCTCGTCCTGACTCGCAGTTGTCGTTGGGCTGGCAGGCAGGTGTATCTGGGGGCGACAGCAGCTTCTGTCTCACTGCAACACATACAATCCGCACAACGCACACACTCTCACACTCTCACACATGCAAGCATGCGGCATGCACCAACTCGACCCCTTCTCAGACCCATGGCTCTTGGGGGACAGCAGCAGTGACCCTCTCATCCCTCCCATGCCAGCATCCTTCGGCCCCTGCAGTCCTTGGTGTTGCTTTCTTAGAAAGTGGAGCATTCTCGTCTGAAGGACATTCAAGAGCAATTCTGGATTTGGATGTCTAACATTGCACCTTGATATATATTATGGAGTTCTGTGATTTCATTGATGGTTTGCACGAGCAATTCTTTTTCAAGCGTGCATTTTCTTGGATGGTTTCGAGCCAGTAGCGCGGATGTGTCTGACGCTGATGACGATCCCAAGGCCCCTTCACCTTCCATGGCCTCCTGAAACCACGATCCTGTTTCTATGAATTTTAACCGTATTGAATCTCTTTGCAACCAGTAAACAGCAAGCAAAAAGCGCGACCCTGAGGGTCCGCAACCCTGGAAAAACAGGGTGTTGTGGTGACGCTGGTCGTTTTGAACACACAAACTTTGTCGTTGTAGTGACGCTTTCTGGGTGTTCCCTCCACTTGATCTGACCATACTGCTGCTGCAAAATTGTTTCTTTCCCTGAGCTGGTAGCAGCTGAAGAATACTTGCACAGGAAGCAGCAGCTCTTCCGTCGGATGGGAGTTAGCCATGGGAATCACTGGCCTGCTTCCGTTGCTCAAGTCCGTGACTCGACGGACGCACGTTCGCGAATATGCCGGCCGAAGGGTAGCCATTGACACGTATTCCTGGCTCCATCGCGGAGCTTACGCCTGGAGCCTGGAGCTCTTTCAAGCCGAACCGTGTTATGGGTACGCAATGCCATAAGATTTAGTAGAGATCGCGATCGTCTGACAATCGCGTCGTGCAGTCCAGCATCGCAATTTTGTTGATCTTGTCATCGCAAGTGGTCCTACATTAGAAGAACCTGGTGGGGTTATACCCGAGAGTTCAAAAGTCGGTATTTTTCTCTTGAAGATCAGAAGCAGCTGGCCTAGTCTTGCAGACAACACGACTTGAAATGTCATTTACTGAAGAATATTCGCATTCTTTCCGACAGTTTTTCCGCTTCACTTTGTCGCTTACGATATCACCGTGACCAGCGTGCAAACAGCGTCGGTTTTCGGTTTAGGCGGGCAGTACGCTTCTCGTGATTCGCTAGGCTCCAGTGACAGAGCGACCATTGTTCCGTTGTGACAATGGAAGCATTCAGTTGCCTCGCCGAACCTCTCTGCCGTTAATTTTCTCTTCGCGATATCGCCGCTATTCGCTACGCATCCACAAAACGATGCATTCGGCGAGCTTCGTAGCCGCAACTTCTCTCCTATCTCCCCGTCGCTGTGTTCCTTTCAGGCACATCCAGTTTTGCATGAACAGGGTCAGAATGCTTAAAAGGAATGGCGTCATTCCCGTGCTGGTCTTCGACGGCGGAAAGCTCCCCTCGAAATCTCAGCAAGAAGTGAAACGAGAAAAGTGTGTAACCTTCTCTTTCGCGTGGTCCTGCATTGAGCATCAATGTCGTCTGGTTTATCTCCTATACAATCGATTTCGATGTTGTTGGCATTCTTGAAACCGGCTGATTTGAATTCGCTTGCCAACTGTTTCCTGCCTCTTTCACATTTCAATCTGCAACCATCCGGCTCTAGGTCCAGCAATGAGAACCTGGATCCACCTAAACAGTCCTGGATCGTGACATCCTAAAAAATGATAGGTCTGAGTGTTTCTTCCATCCGTCTCCATCTCGTGTGGAGTACAAAATGAAACCTTAGTCTACTTTTCATCCCCTGTGGATCTCCTCTCCTGCGTCTTGCAGGTCCAGGAAGGAGAACATGGAGCGAGCACAGCAGTTTCTGCTGCAGGGTAAAGAGAGTGAAGCGAAGGAGTGCTTCCAGAGGGCTGTTGACATCACGCCTGCCATAGCTTATGAGCTAATAAAGGTCTGACTGTGGCCAGCCTTTTGAGTTCTAATGCTTTTGCCTGTGCATTGTCGGCATGCTTATATCCTAACATTTTCCCGATGCTTCTAGCTGTGCATTTTCCGTGTGCTTTAACTGTGCATTTTTCTAATGCCTTCAACACACTTCTTTTGCGATTTCTCTCGTTATCTTCTTAAATCACCTCCTTTGCTCCCTTGCACACACCCCTTATTATTGGTTGCAGGAGTTGAGGCAGCTGAATGTGGAGTATGTGGTGGCACCGTACGAGGCGGATGCACAGATGGCGTACCTGTGTGCCAGTGGCATGGTGCATGCAGTCATCACAGAGGACTCCGACCTAATCGCCTACTCCTGTCCACGGGTATGACAGCACTCCTTAGTACCGCTCTGCACTGCGCAGCACTCTGCACAACCTCCTCAAGCGCCCATGAGCCAGCTTCTGTGTTGTCTGATCAGCCAGGCCTGTTGTGAGTTTCGTTGTGTCAAGACGCTGACTCTGTGCCACGTTTGCTGCTTCGACTTTTCATTCAGAGGTCTCGAAACCTAGGCTCCTGAGACGTCTCGAAACTAGGTTCCTGACGCTGTGCTGAGTCTGCTGCTTCCGACCTGGGATGGACCCTCTGCACCCTCCACCAGGTTCTCTACAAGATGGACAACTCAGGCAACGGCGAGGAGATCGAGTACGCCAACATAGTGCAGTCCCAGGAGCTCGCCCTGGCGGACTTCACCCCTCAAATGGTCCTGGAGATGTGCATTCTCAGCGGCTGCGACTACCTCGACAACCTGCCCAAAGTTGGCCTCAAAACGGCCCACGGCTGGATTAAAAAGCACAGGGACTACCGCAGAGCACTGCAGAACGCGAAGCTGAATGGGAGGGTTGTGCCGGAGGAATATGAGGCGGCGTTTCAGCAGGCGCTGGCGACGTTCCTGCACCACAGGGTGTATCATCTGACGGACGAGCAACTGACACATGTCAACCCGCTGCCGCCCACGCTCCTTGGACCGGATGCGGACCTGTCATTCCTTGGACCATATCCTTGTCACGTCCCTCTGCCTCCCACGTTTCCACTGCCTACCCTGGTCACCTGTGCTGCTTTCCCTCCTCACGTGCTTGTCCAGAATCACATGCACTTTAAAGTCACATCCGTTTCTGGTCACTATGCCACTATCTTCCGAGGGGGTGTTCCTTAACTGTGTGCATCGAGCCGACAATTCCCTGTTTCTGCCTCGTCGTGTGCCCCCCGATTCCTCTTGCTTCTTGTGCCCTCTCTCGTTCACCCCGGCCTGTTCCCTCTCTTCTTGTGTTTCGGCTTTCCTCCTTCCCTTGTTTCTCCCGATTCTTCTCAATTCTTATTATCTCCACTGAGCTCGCTCCAAGCCTCGCCCGTGCAATCGCTATGGGTCATGTGGACCCAATCACGTACGAACCATTTGAGGTAAGACCCATCACATATGATACAAGCCATTCGACGTAAAAACCATTTACCATGAGGCTTTGCGGAAAAAGAATTCCTCGGGCTCTGAGGGACCCCTTTATCCGCCTAGGTGAAGTGAACCTGCCTGCTCCCTTCTTTCAGCAACGCCTTTTCATGGCGGAATTCGCCATGTGAACCATATTCTCTGTCCCATTTATCCACTGCTTTTCAGACGAATCCCATACCCAGGCCATTTCAAGAAGCGTCGTCAGCTCAACAAGGCCAGCAGAGCCCTGCAGCAGCAGCAACAGCAGCAGCAGCAGCAGCAGCAGCAGCAAGGGGGGTTCAAAGGGGAGCCACCAATGGTAGGCCAAGGAGTGGTGGGCGCGGAGGATTGGGATTAAAGCAGCTGCCCGTGCAGAAGAACAAGCTGTCTAAGTACTTGGGTGAGTGCTTTCATGAGCTGGGCTGGGCTCATGTGATGAGCAGCCGTCACATGGAGAGAGTAGTCGCACTCCCTGTCTAAGCACTGCATGCTTGTGCCATATCTCATTTCTTAGGTGCGAATGCTCGCTGACCAGCTGCTCTCTCTATCTCCTCTCTACCCCATATTACCGACCCCTCCCCCCCAGTCTCCGCGGCTCCTGAAGCCAAGAAGCAGTTCCAGCCGCCACGCGGCTCCCCAGTAACGCCTCCCACCCAATATTTCTTCCCGCCGTCCCGTCCCCAACCTGCCACCGAGCCTGCCCGTGAAGGCAAGGCAAAGACGCCACGGCCAAGGCGATCTGTGAAGGCATCTGCTGCAGGGGAAGGGAGTGCAGGGCCGATAGTTGGGGAAGACCTGGCGCAGTTTATGGCAGGAATGTGCCCCGAGGGGGAGGAAGAGGAGGAGGAGGAGGAGGAGGAGGAGGAGGAGGAGGTGAACCTGCAGGGGAAGCATGGCCTGCAGATTCAGCACAATGGGTTACAGCAGCAGCAGCAGCAGCCATCTGCTCCATCCGCGCTCGGTGGTCAAGGGCCCAGGGCTGCTGTCGCCCGCGTGTTCCAGCGGTTCACCCCGCCCCGCTCCATAGCCGAGGCTGGGAACGCACCCCTGCCAACCTGGCAGCGCAGCAGGGTGGCTCCCAGGCGGTCAGCAGGAGTTGCTGCTGCTGCTACCGGAGAGGGGCAGGGGAAGACGCTAATTGACTGGGAGAAGTTTGGGTTCCGCGGAAATCGCGAAACGCTGGGAGAGCTGAGGGGAGAGGAGGGAGGAGAGTGGGTGGCTGATGTGTCGGAAAGGGGTCTTGACGTGGAGGCTGATCTGGGTACGGATTTGGATACTGATTTGGATGAGCTGCTGCTGCCGCCTGCCTTTGACCTTGTGGCTGACGTGCCGGGAACTCACCAGGTCAGGCAGGGCGGGTGGAGAGCAGGAGGGTGGATGGGCATGGGAGGGGCAGCAGGAGCAGCGAGGAGAGGAAGAGGACGGGGTACAGGAGGAGGGATGGGTGTTAGAGGAGGTCGAGGACTGGGAGTGGGTGGTGCTGGTAGTAGCATGGGGCAGGCAGGGGTGGTGTTTGAAACCCCGAAACGGATGGTGGGGAGCGTTCAAGGGCTGGGAGGACTGCGAGGGCGAGGCGTTCGGGGGAGACTGGGGGCAGCTCACGTGGTGGTGCGGCAGGAGATGTCCTGCTCGACATGCGTGGTGAGTCTCTCCTGCTGCGTGCTTGACGATTAGTCCATCACCTGTGGCACTTCTCTAGTAGTATGTTGTGAGTCCACTTGAATGGAACCGTCAGTTCGGGGGAAAATGGGGGCGGCTCATGTGGTGGTGCGGCAGGAGATGTCCTGCTCCACGTGCGCGGTGAGTCCTTCTTACTCTCATCCACTTCATGGTTAGTCCATCCCCATGGCACATGTTTGGTGATTTGAGGCAAGTCTAACTGGTTACCAGGTTAACAACTCGCCTGGTGCGCCGGGCGATGTTCCTTTACGTATGTTGTTAGTACCATCCCCTCCACGTGTTGTTAGAGGTGTCCTGGTGGCGTTATTCCCCCACCCACTGCCTTCATGTTCTCTGCGGTGTGGACCCTTACTTTGGAGATAAGCGTCGTGCGCGGGTTTCAAGGCGGCCCAGAGCTCGGTTCAAACCTCGAACCTCCTCTGAAAGCGATCCAAAGCGGCTCTAGGCCACGGCAGTAGATAGAAAGCAGGAGAGTAGGGAGCCCGACCTAACGTTGCCAGGTCTAAGGCCAACTTTCCTTTAGGAAGAGCACCAATGCATGCATGCGAGGCACTTGCCTGCCCTCGCTTCCTCCTCCCTTGCCCCTGCAGGCTCACTGCAAGCCCCTCAGATCACTTGGGTAAGTCCCAGCCTCTCAGCTTCCCAGCCTCTCAGCTGCCCAGCCTTTCAGTCCAGGCTTTCTACCTGCGGTCTTAGAATGACCCCCCGACCTGGTCCCAGCCTCTAAGTCCCGTCTTTCAGGACCAGAGTGGGTGCAGCTACGGAGCCCAGTCAGTCTGTGTGCCTTCCTCATGCTTTCGTCGCGACCATTGCTTGCCTATCTGCCTCGTTTACTCTAACAAGCGCTTCACCTGTCCTGGCTTGGCTTGGCATGGCACCTGCACCATTCGGGCCGCGCTATCCTGCTGCCGCCCCTGCTTCCCTTGGCAATCCCTGGCATCGCATCTGCTTCCCCGTGGCAATCTCTGGCATCGCCCCTGCTTCCTCGTGGCAATCTGTGGCATTGCCTCTGCTTCCCCGTGGGGCATCAACCGTGACCTATGTCCTGTGGTGCCGCCACTGGTTGCCTCCTTCTGCCGTGGATGGCTGACAACAGGACACCGATTTTTTGCTGACTCCGCCCGCCAAACGCCCCTCGTTGGATGACGGTATGTGCCTGCCCGGCAGCATTGGCCCCTGCTGTGCAACCGACTCCGTTTTTCATCGTATCGTATGCCACTCATTCCGTGGCATTGTTTACTAGGCTCTATCACATCTGGTTGCTAGGCTGTGTTTTGCTAGTGCCTGTTGTGCTTACTGGTTATCCTTTGGCTGGCAGGGGTATCTGGAGTCGATGCCAGCTTCCTCTCTCTCACTGCAACACACACGATCTGCACTACACACACACTCTCACACGTGCAAGCACACGGCATGCACCAACTCGACCCATTCTCAGACCCATGGCCCTTGGGGGACAGCAGGGACCCTCTCCTCCCTCCCATGGCACCATCCTTCAGCCCCTTTGGCTTAGCCAGACCATTTTCTCTACGAGAGAGGCAGCAAGATGAGGAGCAGGAGCAGAAGGAGGAGCAGGATCCCTTTTCCAGCCCTGTGGGAAGATCTCTCCCTCCTGCGCCTTCTCCTCTGCTGTGTCCCGCCCCTCACTGCAGTGCTGCTGCTGCTCCACGTCACCCTCCACGTCCTCCTCTTCCTTCTGCTCGTGCGGCTGCTTCTTTCCTCTCTCCCGCAACTCTAGCTTCCACACCGCCAGCTGCTGCTGCCGCAAACCCGTTTGCTTCACACGTTCACCGTAGCCGCATGCTGGGTGCAGCTGCTGATGGTGGTGGTGTTCGTAGTGCTGGTGCTGCAAACGCTGCTGCAGCAGCTACCGCAGATAGGGTGGAAGGTGCGCATTTCTGGCACGATAGAGACGCTGACGCTTTGGATGGAGCAGACAGACTAGATGCTGACGATGCTGTGGATCAGACAGGTGGGATGGATGGGAGGGCAGGTGGAGCAGGTGGAGCAGGTGGAGCAGGTGGAACAGGTGGAGCAGGTGGGACAGATGCAGCAGATAGTCCAGATAGGGTAGATAGATATGGAGGGCCAGGAGAAGATCCAGAGCAGGATGAGGCGCTCGGGAAGGCAAGGTACAGTGCACCTGGACGGCAGGGACTTGTGTACAGCATGCCGGTTGCTGGCCTGCCTCCTGCTGAAGGGGTGAAGGCTGCAGCAGCAGGAGCAGGAGGAACAGCAGGGGGAGGCAGAGGGAGGGGTGTGGGTGGCATTTCAGGGGCAGTGCAAGGGACGTTCAAGAGGAATCTGGCACGGGGGAGTGCCTTTTTCAGGGAAAGTCCAGGTGACAGTGCTGGTGACGCTGACAATGCTGGTGATGGTGATGCTGGAGAGTATGCTGATGGAGATGATGGGGAAGGGGAGCAGCGTGGTGGTGTTGAAAGGTGTGATATAGGGGATGGGCCTTCTGCAGAGATGCACGCGAGGAGTGGGAGCAGTGGCATGAGTGGGCAGTCATTTGCCACGGACGTTTCACACGTGCTGCGCTATTCTGCGGTGGGGAAGGATGCGATGGGTCAGGTGGCGGCGAAACTGGCCAGCTTCAAGCACACTCCAGCTGAAAACAAGTCGAGGGGGAGGGTGTCGCGTCGATTGGGCGGCCTGAAGAGACAAAGGTGGGGCCCTGCTGCTTTGATTTTCAAAATTCTTTTGCTTCTTGTTGTTGTTCATGATTATTGTTACTCGGGTTGTTTGATAACACTGGTACTTTTTTTTTCTGTGCTGTGTTTGATGCAGGTCTCTAGCAGGGCAACATCCTTGCTCGTTTCAGGTTCGGCTCAAAGACACAAAGATGGACCACTTTGTCAGGCGCGCTGCCCCTCAGCCTGCAGGCCTTGGTGTTGCTTTCAAAGAAAGTGGAGCATTCTCCTCTAAAGAACATTCACGAGCAATTCTGGAGTTTGATGTCTAGCATTGCATGCTGATGAATATCCTTCATTTTCGTCATGTAATTTCATTAATTGTTTGCACGATGTGACATTTTATATGTTTCTTGTGAACTCGCGGATCATTTCTTGCTAGTAGCGCGTATGCGCTCGTGTGTCATGGTGATCCCACCCAACGCAAGGCTGCGCCTTCCATGGCTTCCAGCTTCAAACTGTTCACCAGAAAAGAGGAGAAAGCGTTCCAGCGGTGAGGTGCTGTTCTGCTAGGAGAACGTCAGCAAGGGATCGCGTCGCGACTCCAACCCAAGCACGAGCGCCGCTCCGCGCCTTGGCTCTTCTTTCTGGAATCTCCACCGACACAAAATGATGCGAGGCTGCATTCCTCAAGGCAATCACATAATTTCTTTCAGCGGCCCCAAACGAGTTTAGGGTTGATGCCTCCCCGAAGGACAACCAGGTTTCATCTGGGCTTTATACTTTTGTGCTGCCCTGAAACGATGTGATTGTCTTGAATAAAGATTGATACTGTACGGCCTCTGGTAATAAGAGTGTAGGTGACAGCTGAACGTGCTGTGAGGATGGTCAGCTTGTTGTGAGAGGCGTTTTATATAACTCTAATACACCTCACAAGGGTGGTGCGTTTGTCATTTCCTGACAATTCTCGGCTTGGCAACTGGTCTCCGCCGCCTCCACTCGCAGCAGTACTCGCCTCAAACCGCCATCGCGAGCTGCAAATCACGAAAGTCGCGGGCTCGTGGGCTCGTGGGATTCCTGTGGGATCGTGGGCTCACTTCCCGCAATCCATCGCAACAATTTCGCCATTCCCCTGCTTCGTCCTCCTCTCCTCCTCACATACCTCCGACGCCAGTCAAGGTGCTTCGCGAATCGAGTCGCAAGTCCGATTCTGTTAAGCCCTCGCGGATGAATAAAGCCATCGCGGATGAATAAAGCCCTCGCGGATTAATAAAATCCTCGCGGATTAATAGAGCCGTCAAAAATCGCCAGTCGCGGATTGATGACCTCGTATAGCGCCACGCCCATCCAGCCGCCTTCGCGACGAACCCCTCGGCGATGGCTGCTCGCTGGCCTCCTCCTCCTGCTCCCCGCCTCGCTCCTCCTCCTCTCGCACTACGTCCAGCTCCTGCACTCCCCCTCCGCGTCTCTCGCTCGCCAATCAAGTCTGCTTCCCTCTCAACTACTCTCCCATGTTGACACGCCTTTTGAGGCGTCTCAAAACTCAACCCCGCTCGCCTCTCCCCTACTGCTAGGCTCCCGTGCTGAGACGCCTCAAAATCCGTCCCTCTCGCTTCCCGCTCTAACCGCCGCGAATTCCGCTTCTGAAGCGTCTCTCGAGCATCCGTCGTCTATCCTCCGGCTTCTTAAGTCGGAGTTAGGAAAAGCGGATCGAGACACGTCAGCAGGGAGGGACGGTCGGGAGAGGCATACTGGACAGGAGTATGGAGGAGAGGGGAGCGACGAAGGTGAGGAGGAGGTGGATAGAAGGGAGGGGGAGATGGGGCTTGGTGATGACAGTGAAACCAGCGTCGGGGGAGACTTGGAGGGGAGTGGAATAGGGAGAAGTGAAGTTGAGGAAAGGGTGGATATTGCTATTGAGAACCAGCAGCAGCAGGAGGAAGTGGGTCAGCAGCCACAGCAGCAGCAGCACCACCAGCAGCAGCAGGAGGAGGAGGAGGAGGAGGAGGAAGAGGGTCAGCAGCAGCCACAGCAGCAGCAGCAGCATGAAGCCCAGCACACGCCTGATCCAGCACCCTACTTCCATCCGCCCAATCCCGCAACCTCAACTCCCATTTCCACCACTTCTCCTACCCCTGGCCTCCACCCCCTCGATCCCCCCACCGCTCCCCCGAAGCTGACGTGGCACCCGCATCCCAACCGCTACCTGCTGGCAGTGTGCGTGCGCGGGCAAGTCAACAACCGCATTGGCTGCCTCTACCGCCACCTCATCCTCGCGGCTCTCCTCAACCGCACCCTCCTGGTCCCCGCGCGCCTCCCCTCCACCACCCCGCAGCTCTGCAAGCGCGGGGCGTCTGGCCGCGCCTGCCCTTCTTACTCCCTCCCTCTCATCTGGGACCTGGAGCACACGCGCAGGTGCCTGGGGAACGCGTCTGTGATCAGATCGGACGAGTTTGCCGCCCGGTTCGGCCGCCCGGTGGAGGTGGGCCACATGCGGTGCTGGCACGGGCCCGAGGGGCTGTGCCGCCCGACGTATTCGATAGTGAAGAAGAACTGCCTGGTGAATACTGCGCTGAGCGCCATTGCAGCAAGGCTGAGGAAGCGGTTTGAGGGGCAGCAGGTGGCCAGTGATGTGGTCCACGCCATGCTGCTCAATGGGTCGTCGTTGGGCCTGGCGTCAGATGGGTCATCCGATGGGTTGTCCGATGGGTTGTCCGATGGGTTGTCCGATGGGTCATCCGATGGGTCATCCGATGGGTCATCCGATGGGTCATCCGATGGGTCATCCGATGGGTCATCCGATGGGTCATCCGATGGGTCATCCGATGGGTCGTCGCTGGCGTCAGGTGGGTCGTCCCTGTCATCCGCCACCCCAGATGGCTCGACCTCGTCGTCCGTGTTTCCTGTGCCAACAACACTGGGGGACCAGGTTCTGCAGCTGAGAGGGAAATCGCTGAATTTCCCTTCCTCCTCCTCCTCCTCCTCGTCTGTCCCCCCCTCTGCCCCCTCCGCCCCCTCCTCCGCTCTCCCCATCCGCCCTGTGCCCATCGACCCCATCCGCATGATCCTCCTCCACCAGCCAGGCATCGTCTCCATCCCCCCCTCTGCCACCGCCTCCGCGCTCTGCCTCCCGCGCTTCGTGCACGTGAGGGACGTGCTGAGGGCGTACGCGCCTCTGGGGGAGTCGGTGCCTGTGCTGGCCGTGGGGGACCTGGTGGGCACGGCGGTGCTGGGACTGCCGCACCGGTACTCGCTGCTGCAGCGGGCGGCAAAGAGGTGGGAGGAGACAGGTCAGAGGCAGCAGGGGGGGCAGCGGGAGGGGCAGCAGGAGGGGCTGCAGAGTGAGGTGGGAGGAGGGGAGGGTGGGGGAATGGATGGGCGACAGGGTCAGGCAGTAGGGGAGACAGAAGACCAGGCAGAGGATCAGGTGGATGGGAGGAACCCCTGGCTGGATAAGGATTTCGTGCGACCGCCGGGTGGGCGGTGGCTGGGGAGCTCTGGCAGCGGCGGGCTCCGGGATTGGTTGAGTATTTTTCAGTTCCTGCCCGGGTGTCAAAACACAGCCACCATCATTCCGCCCCCGGGAATTTTCCAGCGCGCTCAAGCCATCATTCGGTCCCTGTTTGGGGCTGAGAGGGTGGAGATGGGTACAGGTACCTTCCGAACAGTAGGTGCAGCCAATAGTAGCACTGGTGCAGGTGATACGTCCGGCGATCCAGCTGCAGGTGTCTCTGGTGGAGAAGGATATGGTGCAGGTTTATCTGGTGGGGGCGGGGCAGGAGTGGTGGGAGCACCGACTGACATGTACCTGCCTGGGTGGACTGACCTGCCAGCGTTTCTGGCGGTGCATTGGCGGCGGGGCGACTTCCTAGAGTTCTGCGCTCGCTCGGGCCCACCGGGGTTTTGCTTCTACTCGCCCGTGCAGGCTGCGCAGTGCTGTGCTGACGTGGCACAACGCAACGGGCTCAGGAATGTCTACGTGGCGACGGATGCTGATGAACAAGAGGTGAGCTGTATGCCTTGCTCCTGTTATCCTGTCTCAAATGCAGTGCTATCCACTAATCTCTCTTATTATTGTTGATATTATTCTTATTATTGTAAATATTGTTTCTCTCCAACTAAAGTTCAGGCCCTGTGCCATTCCATTCCACCCTTCCTCTGCTCCTTATTATTCGTGGATGCAGTTTCAGGAGTTTCGAGAGACACTGGGGCCACAGTACACTGTGGCACGGCTCCCCTCTTCCCCATCCCCTTTATTACCGGACCCACACCTGGACCCTCTGTTGCGCTATCGGCAAGGGACCTTCGTCAACGATGCAGCAAGCCTGTTGTACACCATCCTTGACAAGATTATTTGTGTTTATTCTACGGTTTTTTTAGCCACACCGTCGTCTACACTTTCCAACGACGTTGCTCGGATAAGGGAGGGGCTTGGCATACCTGCAGCAATGGCAGCAGCTGCAGCTGTTGGAGCGGAGGAGGAAGCTGTAGGGGGTGGAGGGGATGTGAGAACTGGGGTTGATTTTGGGGAGAGCACAGGAGTGGAAGAGGGAAGGGATGGTGCCCTGTGTGAGGGGCAGAAAGAGTGGCATCCTATGGATGGATTGCCTAAAAATCTACAACAGTTGAAAGCCTTGAGGATATTGTCAAATGACAAGGGAGAGTGGTAAAGCAAGCTGTAATTTGTATGACCTTTTAGTCCCTAGTCATGGTATATGTTGCTTTAGTAATCCCACCTTGAGCATCTTATGCTCGTAACAGATTATCAACGTGTAAGTATTGCTAAAAGCGTGATTTTCGGCGGTTGACAGGGTTACATTGCGTCACTCTCGACCACCAATTACGCACTCGTCAATCGATCTTCATCCCTTGCAGCCCACATTGGCCGACGACAGCCAACACGCAACTGATCCTTGTCAGGAGTCCCAATGCAACCCGTCGCAAACGCCGCTCTCAGCATTCCCAAGGGTCCATTTTGCCAGCCTGTCGTTCGCAAGAATCAGGGAAAGTCAGCACAGCAGGAATCCCAAGGGCACGGCTCAGGAAGATTTCAGTCAGTCAGGAGGAGGGCTCCTATGTGATGCAATGCTGTAGGACGGCCCTGCCACTTCTCTTTCTCATTGCTGGTCAGTAGGTCCACCATTCCGCTCCTTCTCATTCTCAATCCTCCATGATTCTTGGACTCCTATTCCTGACTCCGCTTTTTTCTTGTCTTGCACCCAGCTGCTTCTGAGTCTTGGCCATTCTTCACATTAGCTGGGAGCTTCTGACGACCCGCTAGCTACCCGAGCTTTTCGCCAGATTCCGAAAGTCCATGTCGGGAATGCTTGCTGAACTCGAGAGCAAAGAACCGACTTTCCAAGCTAAGCTACTGCCTATGTTCGCCCATTAGCGTCGGTCGATGCCTTTTTTAGGTTTGGCGCGCTTGTCGGTACCTAGCTGATACGAGAAAGACCATGGATTCGGGGGGAAGACTACGGAATGTCCCTGATGATAGAGATTGCGTCAGGCCTCCTGCTGACTCATCTCTCCCCGTTACTGCACCCAATGGTGCCGGAAGACCGGACCTACATTCCACGACCGTACCGAACCTACATTCCACGACCGTGCCGAACCTACATTCCACGACCGGACCGGGCTTATGCGACCGCAAAACAGAGTCGAGACGACATCATACGTCACCAATGAAGCAGCAGCAACAGCAGCAGCAGCAGCAGCAGCAGCAGCACGAGGAGGAGGAGGACGACGAACTCATTCCCCTTGAAGACTTTGAAAGTTTACCCTTGAAACGCGGAAATGCAATCGCCGATTCCACCCACTCAACCCACATCTTCGCTCGCCTGCACAAGCTTTTCACAACTGATGGCTCCGAGGTCCCTAGCTGGCCCATTCGATCTCTGGGAAACATTTCCTCTTCAAATACACTTCGCTCGCCCACTGCCCTCCTCCTCCTCTTCCTCGCCTTCCTCCTCGTCCTCCTCTACACTCTCTTTCTGAAACCCATCTCGCCCTTCTCCGAGTCGTACACTCTAGATGCACCCGTCTGGTCCGCCAATGAGCAGCTGCCAGGTCAGCTCAGCAGTGATTCCCTGCAGGTGCACGCGTCAGGCTCGGCTTCCAATGCCGGCCCACATCACAATGCACTAGGCCCCGAGCCTCACGCCGACCCTGATTCCGACCCTGACTCCGACCCTGGCCATCGTGGTGCGGATGCAACTGTAGCAGTCGAGGAGGTGAAGGGGGCTCTGAGTGCGAGGGGCACGTGGCATGGCAAGCTGGTGTGGACGCCACAGCCGGACCGATTCCTTCTAGCGGTCTGCGTGCGAGGACAGGTGAGGAGCAGACGAGACAGATGAGTTCACTGGAAACAGTTGCGCTCTTCTTTCGCGCAATGCATGCATTGGCGCAGCACACTGCACATTTCCCGCATTCCCCCCACCCCACCTGCTTACTTTGTCATCATGCAACCCATGTCAACAACCGCTGTGGCTGCCTCATCCCGTCCGCTCAGCTCAACAACTTATTCTCTCTGCCCCTCCTCTCCACCACCCCCGTCCTTTCCACCCTTCCTTACACCCTTCTCCCCCCGCCCCCAGGTGAACAACCGCATTGGCTGTCTCTACCGCCACCTCATCCTCGCAGCCCTCCTCAACCTTCACTTCCTCCCTGCTCCCCCTTCCCCCACACCCCAACCCCCGCTCCTCTGCTAACCTGTTCCCTGCCTTCCCTCCCCTCCCCCCCTCCCACCCAGGTCAACAACCGCATCGGCTGCCTCTACCGCCACCTCATCCTCGCAGCCCTGCTCAACCGCACCCTTGTGGTGCCCCCCGTGCTGCTGTCCACGTCCCTCTCCTACTGCAAGCACGGCGTCTCCGGATCGCCCTGCCCCTCCTACCCGCTCCCTCTCATCTGGGACCTGGAGCACACCCGCAGGTGCCTGGGCGAAGACACTGTGATCCGAACTGATGAGTTTGCCGCCCGGTTTGGGCGCCCGCTGGAGGTGCAGCACATGCGGTGCTGGCACGCGCATGGGAAGGTGTGTCCGGTGAGCAACCAAGGGCTGCAGAGGAACTGCCTGGTGAATGACACCGCGCAGGGGGGAGGGACCAGGAGGAGGCTGGGGGGGCTGTTTGGGCTTGCCAAGGTTTCTCGATCGGCTGCTGCTGCTGTTCAAGGGTGGTTCGGAGGGGCTGCAGGGAAGTGGGTGAGCAAGAGGCGACAGCTGCAGATGCAGCAACAGCAGCAGCAGCAATCGTCCTCGAATCCCTCCCAACCCTCCAGCAACCTCTCCCTGCCTCTCTACACAGTCGAGTCCTTCGCCGCCTCGCCCGTCGCAACATCTGCCGCCCACCTGCACCTGCTACCCCACCAGGTCTCCCCAGATATCCACATCAGCCCTACAGCCACAGCATCAGCCGTGTGCTTCCCCCGCTTCGTGCACGTGAGGGATATCCTCCGCGCCTACGCCCCTCTCTCCTCCTCTGTGCCTGTCCTCGCTGTAGGGGACCTCGTTTTCACCGCCTTTCTCGGACTCTCTGACAGGTACGTTATATCCATGGCCGAGATGCTTACCCCATGGCCGAGGTACTTACCCCGTGGCCGAGTTACTTACCCCATGGTCGAGTTACTTACCCTGGCCGAGTTACTTACCCCATGGCCGAGTAACTTACCCCATGGCCGAGCTACTTACCGCATGGCCGATTTACTTACCCCATGGCCGAGGTACTTACCCCATGGCCGAGGTACTTACCCCATGGCCGAGTTACTTACCCCATGGCCGAGTTACTTACCCCATGGCCGAGTTACTTACCCCTTGGCCGAGTTTCTTGCCCCATGGCCGAGTTACTTACCACTTGGCCGAGTTTCTTGCCCCATGGCCGAGTCACTTACCCCACGGCCGAGTTATTTACCCCATGGCCGAGTTACTTACTCCTTGGCCGAGTTACTTACCCCATGGCCGAGTTACTTACCCCATGGCCGAGTTACTTATCCCCTGGCCGAGTTACTTACCCATGGCCGAGTTACTTACCCTGTGGCCGACTTACTTACCCCATGGCCGAGTTTCTTACCCCATGGTCGAGTTACTTACCCCATGGCCAAGTTACTTATCCCACTGTCGAGTTACTTACCCCATGGCCGAGGTACTTACCCCATGGCCGAGTTTCTTACCCCCTGGCCGAGTTACTTACCCCATGGCCGAGTAACTTACCCCATGGCCGAGCTACTTACCGCATGGCCGATTTACTTACCCCATGGCCGAGGTTCTTACCCCATGGCCGAGGTACTTACCCCATGGCCGAGTTACTTACCCCATGGCCGAGTTACTTACCCCATGGTCGAGGTACTTACCCCATGGCCGAGTTTCTTACCCCATGGCCGAGTTTCTTACCCCATGGCCGAGTGACTTACCCCATGGCCGAGTTACTTACCCCATGGCCGAGTTACTTACCCCATGGCCGAGGTACTTACCCCATGGCCGAGTTTCTTACTCCATGGCCGAGTTTCTTACCCCATGGCCGAGTTTCTTACCCCATGGCCGAGTTACTTTCCCCATGGCCGAGTTACTTACCCCCAATCTTGATCGTTCTTTGGCAGGTACGACCTGTTCAAGGAGCACGTGTTCCGGTACAAGCGGCGGGTGGAGCTGGGTCAGGCTGCCAAGGCACAGGAAGAGGGCACCAAGGCACAAGCTCACAACACCACCACAGCAACGACTGATCATGCTGGCATGCTGACGAGCAGCAGCAGCCAGGTGGTTGTGGAGTCTGACTTCATTGGGCCGGCAGGGGGGCGGTGGTTCGGGAGTGCTGGGAGGGGGGGGCTCAGGGAGTGGAGGAGCGTGTTTCACTACCTGCCAGGATGCCCGGCCCCCGTGCCCATCCTCCCCTCGCGGGCTGTTATTGAGGACGGAAGGCGGCTCGCACGAGCCCTGTTTGATGAGAAAGCGGGATGCAGCAGGAGCAATGATGGTGGCAGCGCCAGTGCTGGGGCTAGCGCAGGCGGTGGTAGTAGTTCTCCAAGCACTACAATAGTAGCAGCAGGGCAGATAGGAGGAGAGCTGTCAGCAGGATCACTAGCATTAGGCGCTGCAGCAGAGGGAGGGGGAGGGGGGTACATGGCGGTGCACTGGCGGAGGAGCGACTTCAAGGACTACTGCGTGTGGTCGGGCCCGCCTGGGTTCTGCTTCTACTCTGCAGAACAGGCTGGCAAGTGTGCTGCTGACGTGGCGCAACGCAACGGGCTGAGAAATATTTATGTTGCCTCAGATGCCAGTGTGGAGCAGGTCAGTTGCTGTACTCTCTTTCCCTGTAATAAAGTTTGTTGCTTGCTTCGTTCTTTTGGCTTCGCTTCAGCTGACTCCCTTGTCCCTCAAAGCATCCTCTTTCTCACCCTCCTCCCCTCCCTCTCCCCTTCCCCAATCCTCCATTCTTACCTCTGTCAGTTTGAAGTGTTTCAAAAGGCTGCAGGCTCCGCTTTCAAAGTCATTCGCTACCCCGAAAACCCATCAGCCTACCTCCCCACCTTCACCTCAGACCCACTCATCTCCGCCCTCCCCGCCTCCACCGACCGTGAGGAAGCGTCCCTCCTCCGGCACATGCTCCTGGACAAGCTCGTCTGTGTACACGCTACAGTGTTCCTCGCTACCATGTCCTCCACTCTTTCCAATGACGTGGCTAGAATGCGCGAGGGATTTGGCGTGCCGGCAGCCTTGGCAGTCGTTAATCCCAGTGCTGGCAACGCAAGTGAAATGGCTGCAGATGGAGATGCCTTGGGGAGGATCGGTCTGGAGTTTGTGGTGAGCCCGGGGGTAGAGGAAGGGAGAGACGGGGGGCTGTGTGAAGGTGAGAAGGTGTGGGAGCCATTGGACGGGCTGTCTGGATGGATGAGGGACTTGAAAGCCAAGAGAATGCAGGAGCATGTTACAGGGGAGTGGCGGAGATGATTCAGGCGCATGTTTTGTGTGCTGCCAGATGCGATAGTTAGTCCTAGGATGGTAGAATGGTTTGCTATTGGCACTAGGCGTCTCTGTTGAGTGATGCTGCCAGCAGGGAGGCACATCAAGGTGGGTGTTCCATGTCATGTGACCCATGATTCAGCTACAGCAGGCAAATTTCTTGGCCCTTGCTATGAGTGAGGACGCCAACATGGAGAGACACACATTCACAGGATGGCACCTATAAGAGAATCAATTGCTTATAAACCATTGAAATTCCAAGATAGGACCACCACAAACGCCTAAGCACAAAGTGCGGGCTTGTAAATGTTAAGCTTTATTCAACAATAGATACAAGAATGGGATGGTTATAGTTATACTTCATGCATGAGAGCTCTAGTGTCCACAAGAAGCGAGTGTACTGCAGATCATGTTACACCAGGCTGCAGCCACCACCTCAGCTGCCTTTTCCTTTTGACTGGCCACCTGCAGCTGCTGCCGCCTTCTTTGCAGCCTTCTCTTGCAGAGCCTTGGCGTCCCTGAGATGACACGTGTGAATCAGGAACCATGAGGATGGATTACAGGAAACCAAACGTCCAACGAGGGATGAAAGAACACCGTTAAGCGCGGTGAAGTGTATTTTGCATGAACGGTTGGGATTGAAGCAGAGTGAGAATATTTAAAATATCACCTCTCACGGCGTTGCTCCGGAGTCAGCCCGTCAGTCTTCTTGTTCGCGCCGTTCTTCGCTGCTCGGGCCTGAGCCCTGGCGCGATCAACGTCCCGCTGATTTCCGCGTGAATATTATCAGCACAAGAGAAAGAAAGCCAGTTAAGGAGAAGCTTTGTTCTACTCATGGGGAAGGCAGAGCAGACGGAAGGAGAGCTCGTGTACGAGCACATCAAAATGCAAAAACGAAAACAGCAATGTCGTCAAAAAGGGACTCTGGAATTAAGATAAAGTTGCAAGGCTGCGAAGTCTGCAAAGGAAGGAAAGCGCTGTGTAGGATATGACTCATTTATCGCTGGACGGAGAAGCTCTTGGCACTGGACGCGACTCCCGCGAGCAAGGCTGGAATAAGCCTTAAACAACTCCTCGTCTACGTCAGCAAGGATTCGTGCCGGTCCTCAGCTCACTAGAAAACAACCTGAATGAATCGCATGTGGAGAGAAGACTGCAAACTCCTAGAAGGAACTCCTTGACTTCTGGCCTGCTTTGGTTGCTGAATACCGACTTCGCCACGAGAAATAAGATACCACTGGGTCATTCATTACTGCTGCTGGTCCCAGGCTGATGAGGGGGAGGTAGGGAGGAATGGAGGGGGTGGGATGTGATGACCGAAGGAACTAGGTTACGCGAATGATCGCAAGAGAAACGGCCGCCTCACGCAAATCAGTTTCAACAACGATGATTTGCTGACGACGGAACTTGTGGCTGGCGAGGCCTCTGCACATTTCGCAAATGATCGGAGACGCGCGTTCAGCGTGTCGCGATGTGAAAGGGCTGCGCCTAGAATGTTCCATGCCAGGTGGGCCTCAAATGTCTCACGGTGGAATCTCGGACCAGATGTTCCATTTGAATCTCAACCAGCAGCGCTGTCACGGGCCTGCGATCCTGCTGGGATTCGCCCGAAGGGATCAGCCAACGCGTGCGACGTTTTGCGATGACCTGCATTGGATTTATTGTCTTGCTTGCAGCGTAATAAAAATACTCGCATGACCACCTCAGTGCAGGTGAAAAGCCTTCAGTGTATTGCAGGCACATTATGAGCACCACGTTGTAGTTATGGCAGCATCTACTGTATTCTCATTAATTCACTGAAACCACGAAAGCATACAGGCCAGCAGTGCAAGTGCAATTAGATTGCCTGGGAAGAACAGCAGGCAAATCATAAAACACCCGACCTATCTTGCAAGCCTGAATATCTGATCCACTAAAGTGGCTCATGGCACAAGGCGTTCCGTTCAAAAGCTCCCACTTAGTTCATGCGTCGGATGAGCGCGTTGATCTTGTCCTCGCGGTTACCGGCATCACCCCCCTCCACAAAGTGCAGGCGCTTCTTCTTCATCCCACCGCTGGGCGCCGACAGCTTGAAGGGCCACAGGAAGTTGTTGCACGCCTTGAAGTGCGGGCCCGTCGTGAAGATCTGGTAAATCAAATCCTCCACACACAGAATCTTCTTCTGCCCCAGCACCTGAGGAGAAGATTTGGACCAGGAGTTGTGGAAAGGCAGTGCGCAAGGTTAAAAGGGGTTGAGGGGGGTTGAGAGCAAGGTTGAGGGTACTGAGGGATGTGACATGGGTGGATCAAGACCGAAGCTCATAGCCCAGAAGATCACAGCACCAAAGTGGGGCCCACACTCCACATAATGAACGAGACCTGATTACATAGGGAAACGGCTAAGTATGGCCATTATCAGTCAGCATGAAACTGGTGAACTCACTTTTTGCACGACGGAGTTGTCGGTGAGGGCGATGCGCTGGTGCCTGACCTTGCCGAAGCCGCGCTTGTAGATCAACTCGCGCACCGACTTCAGGTTCGGGTAGCTGCAGGCAGCAGCAGACAGCAAACATGGAGCACACATGGCAGGCATTCAAACAGCAGCCAAGCATGATGGGGATAGAAATAAGGTAGCCACAAAGAATGGCGATTTACGGAAAGGTAGCCACAAAAAATGGCGACATATGACGAGGTAGCCGCCAAAAATGGCGGATATGTGGTATGGCAGGGCAGCTGGGGCAAGGAAGATGAAGTGAGGCAGATGGAAGTTGGTTACACGTGCACATGGCAATCCCATTCGTGGCGACAGTGGCCAGCCCAACTGCTAGTTCACGAAAACAATGTGACAGTAACAGGCTCACCCATATATGACAATAACGAGGCGACTGTAACGAGGTGACAGTAACGAATTGACAGCAACGCGCTCACCCGTAGGTGACGTAAGGCTCCACCAATCGCAGCATCTGCAGGGTGGCCTTGGTGACCCTCAGGAACACCCCGTTGAAGATCTGCCGGGATTCGCGGAAAGGAAGGCGGGAAACAAGGGCGGCAGTGGGGGATGGAGGAGGGGGGGGGAGGGGGGGGGGGGGAAGAGGGACAGGGGATGAGGAGAGTGGGAGGGAGATGGTTGGGTTGGGTGCGAGCGATGGGGGGACGGAGAGAAGAGAGCGAAGAGGTGAGGCGACTTGGAACGATTTAAGGTGTGGCCGATGAGTAGAAGGGAGGAGAAGAGGAAGAATGACGCAGCGTGAAGAGGGAGGGACTTCAAATGAACTAAAAGGGGCCCGAAATCACTACACTGGCGAACTGCTACCGGGTTACCAGCCTCACCTGGCGAAGTCGCAGGAGCTGCATGATCTTGCGGGTCTTGGGGTGCATGTCGTTCACACTGCGGGGAGCAACCAATCACGGGATGGGGACGCGGAGGAACGGGTAGGAGTGAGCGCGCGGGGAATGCTCACGACGGCCATGCCCCAGGGAAAGGGGGGGCGGGGGAGAATGAGTGATTCGAGGGATTTGCGCGGCAGGAGTGAGCGGGGTAGAGTCAGCGGGATAGGAGGGGGGATGGGGGAGAGGATTGGGGGGGGCGGGGGGTGGGGGGAGAGGAGGGGGGGAAGTGGGCGAGTCAGCGACGAGGCATCGAGTTTTGGGTGGATTCTGGGAATTCTGCACGGAGATGGATGGACGGTCGTGCCACCGCCAGCTGTCATACACGACGCATCAACGAACAACCGTCCCTCAAGAGCGAGCAGCTCACCCGCGGATTCGGATGATGAAGAGCAGCTTCGGCTCGGGCTCCACGTGAAAGCCGCCGGGTAGCTTCCTGCGTTGACTCAGCCACCCCCAGCCCACAAACCCATCACCTACACCCGGAATCTCACCCGCGAATTCGGATGATGAAGAGCAACTTGGGCTCGGGCTCCACGTAGAAGCCGCCGCTGAGCTTCGCCTCGCGCTTCAGCTCCACCAGCTCGCGCTCCTGCGGACAAGGGCGAAAAATGGAGGGGCTTCAGCGCGAGAGCAAAAAGCATCACTTGGCTTCTACACTCGCGCTGCAGCTCCACCAGCTCGCGCTCCTGGGGGAAAAATGAGTGGAGCGCGAAAGCCATCAGCAAAAACGATCGTTCAGACGTACGAGCATGCAGGCATGCACCCAGGCAGGCATCGAATAACGATGCAGCCACACGTGCAGATGAAGCCACACGTGCAGATGTAGCCACACGTGCAGACGCAGCCACACGTGCAGATGCACGCACCCGTGCTGGCATTTAAAATACTGCCATAACCACTTTCTCTACTGCGTGCGTGCGTGCCTCAACCCTGGCCAGTGTGTGAGAAAAAATCCTTAGCTACTGCTAGTGATCAGTACGCTACGATCCGTACACCGCGATTGGAAGAACGCCGCGATCGTTACTCGTCGGTAAGACGACTGCCAGTGTTCAGTACGCTACGAAGGGCCTGTGGTGGTCTGCCGAAGAGCCTTCCAAAGCTTCCTCCCGTCCCACGAAATTCTCTTTCAGCCACGCTAACAACTGCAAGCGGTTCGCCTCTGGTTCCACCTTTAGACAACTCCCAACTGAACCGACCCCATGCGCCCTACATTCTCGTCTCTCCTTTCCTGTCAGCCGTGACTGCTGCTCTCCAGGGGTCTCCCATGCGCGCCCTGCCAGCCTGACGGCTCCTCCACAAAAGGCTCCATCCCTAACTGCCAGCCGATACGAGCATGCAGGCATGCACCCAGGCAGGCATTAAACTTGACGCCTACAGCTTCTGGCGGCGGCTTTCCCTAGGTGTGCCTTCGCTGCCGCTAGAGGGAAAACCGCGCCTGTGAATGAAGTGCCGTCGCTGCAACTACATGCGCAGGCCGTATCCCATCGGTGAGACCTGGATGCACCTCTACCTCGCACATGGAGCTGCCTCAGGATCTGCCGCCATAAAACGAATCTTCGGCCACCTTGCGAGCGTACGGCTCGCTTTAGGCGTTTCAAACTACATCTCCCACCTTGCGGGCGTACGACTTGTCATAGGCGGCGGCGCGTTGGTGGATGATTTTGCGGATGAGCTTGTTCTTGGCCTTGGTCTCCTTGGCCTTCTTCTCGATCGCCGCGCCCCACTTCTCCTCGCGCTCGCGCTTCTTCGCGATCGACTCGGGCACCGCCTCCGAACTCATCTTGACTCAACTGCGCGCGCAAGGGGAGGGGGAGTTGCGGGAAAAAGCGTTTCGAGACGTGTCAATCGCCGCCGCGCTTCTTCGTGATCGACTCGGGCACCGCCTCCGATATCATTTTCGCTCAGCTGCGCGCACTTGGCGCAAGAGAGTGGGGGCGGGGGGGGAGGAGGGGAGGTATACTGAGACATCTACGGAATGCGCCCCACTTCTCGTGATCGGCTCGGGCACCGCCTCCGAACTCATCTTGTCTCGACTGTGCGGGAGCAAAGGGGAAAGGGGAAGCCGATGAAGGGGGACGGGGGGCGGGAGGGGGGAGGGGGGAGGGGGGGGTGTATTTGAGGCGGTTGAGAGAGCGCCCCACATCGTTGCGATCGACTCGGGCACCGCCTCTGAACGAATCGACGCCCAGCTGCGGACGCGCAAAGGGGGCAGCGGGAAGAAGGGACGGAGGGGGGGAGGGAAGGGAGAGCCGTCGTGCGGAGCGGGTTCGGGGGAAGAGGAAGCGGGGAGTGGGGGCGTGGTGCAGACGAAGAGCGTGCGCAGGGTGAGCGGTCAGAGGCGCAGCAAGCAGGGAGAGCGCGGGGAGAGGAGTATGAGGAGGAAAGAAATCAGCGCGTGGCCGCGGCAGAAAGAGCGACGCACGACGCCTGCAGCATCGAAGATTTTCCTGCTGCGGTGCGTTCTAAACAGCAAACTAACGAATCGGCGGACCAGACCGCAAAATGGTTCTTCCACGAGTAGGCAACGAAAGAACGATGCCCCACAACCTAACCCTAAAATTAACTCCTACTGCACAAGCGATGGCGACCTCGCGAATCAGAGCTACTAGTCACTAGCGCGTCGCCGCCAATGACGTCCTAGGTATAACAAGCTCGAACCGCGTCAGGGCTACTCACTTTGATGGGGATCCTCCCAAGGGGTAGAGTGGGGTGGAAAGGGGACGGGGAAAGGAAAGAGAAATGGCTTTCAAGGGAGGAAAAGAAGAGGAGGTGGAGGGAGGGAGGTGGAGGGCGGGAGAGCGAATGGAAGTTGCGAATAGGAGGAGCAGGGGAGGGGAGCTTTGGAGCGGGGGACGGGGAGATGCGGGAATAGGCGGGGGAGCGGGGCGGAGGTTCTGGCAATAACGAGAGCGGGGGGAAATGGAGACCTCGCAAGTGTCGCAAAAGGGTGGAGCAGGCGGGAGGGAGGGGTGGGTGGTGGGGCAAACAAGCGCGGGGAGCAGAATGAGGGGACTGTGAGTAGGCGTGGCATACCACCAGTGCAGAACTCTCGGTGTTCCGCGGTACAGTAACGAAGTTTCAACCCCCCTATACGCTGTCGCTTCACTAATACCCACAAGGCGGTCGCCTCTGTTGTCTATACGATGTTGCAAGAAAAAGAGAGCATGCTTAGCCGGCAATCTTCTCGAAACCAACCAATGCTACCTTCGATAACTCATGACACTCGCCTATCTCTAGTTATTTCTGTTTCAGCTCGTGCCTTCGAAGAATGTCATGGCAAACCCATTAGAACATTCCGCATTGCCTTTGAAAACAGGACATACAGGAGGCTGAATTCTAACCATAAGCCACAGAACCATAAGCTGCTCCCATATTCACTTTCAAATTCCCTTCTTGGCTACAGGTGACCGTAGTGGTCCTTGCAGTCACTGTTAACTTCGGCTCAGACTGCCAAACAGCAGGCCTTGGCCTCTCAACCCTTTACATGCCGCTGAATCCCTTCTTGGTCTTGCCACCATCGGAGCCGTGGGGCACCACCTTGAGCACGTTGAAACGCACCGTCTTCGACAGAGGCCTGCACACAAAGAAGGTGGGGAGTGCAGGAGATGATAGTTTGTGGGGGGAAGGGGAGGAAGGGAGGGAGAAACGTGGGGCACCACCTTGAGCACGTTGAAACGCACCGTCTTCGACAGAGGCCTGCACATATGGTTGTGTGGGGGGGAAGGGGGGAGATGATTGTTTGGGGGGGGAAGGCGGAGGCGGAACGGGGGCGGGGGGGAGAGAAGACAACGGGAATGAGGAGGATGCAAGGAAACACAATAACACAATGCATTGAATTTTGTTTCTGCAGATTAAGGAAAGAAAATCAAGCGAGTTCAGCAGTTCCAGGCGAATGGGCCAGCTAAGAAAACACCAGGCGCAGCGAGAGAATGGCACACTGAACCGAAACACAATGACGGCCCTCTCCCCCACCCGCTGCACTGACTTGCACACTGACCCACGACAACCTGAGCTCCCTGCTCTCTGTTAACTTGCCCTGACCGACTTTGAGGGCCCTCTCTCCCCCCATTCTCCCTCTCCCCTTATCTACCACTGGCCTGCACTGCCCCACGATGACCTGATCCCCCCTCCTTCCCACTCATTTTCACTGACCAGCTTCGAGGGCCCTTTCCCCCCTCCCCTCCAATCCCCTCCCCTTGTTTCACTGACCTGCACTATCCGATAGTGACCTTTTTCTTCCCCTTTCCACACACCTTTCCCTCCCCCCCGGCGTCCTTCTGCCCACTGACCTGCACTGCCCCACGATGACCTGATCCCCCTCCTTCACGCGGAAGCACGGCGACACGTGCGCCGACAGGTTCGAGTGCCTCTTCTCGTACCTGCACGGCCACGCGGGAACGGGTAGGGGGAGGGGGGGAGGGGAAGGGGGAAGGAGGAGGGGGAGAACAGAATGAAAGGGGCACGTGCGTTAACAAGGGGGGGAAGGGGGAGGGGGATGAGAAGGGGGGAGGGGAGAGCAGAATTGAAGGGGTACGTGCGCGAGAGGCTCGAGTGCCGCTGCTCGTATCTGGCGCAGCATAGGGATGAGGGGGATGGGGGAAGAGGGGGAAGAGAGGCAAGACGACGGCAACACTGGAGAAAAACGATAGTAACTGGTTCTCACCGTTGGTACTTGCGGACGAAGTGGAGGTAGTCGCGGCGGATGGTGATGGTGCGGTTCATCTTGGTCGACAGCACCGTGCCGGAGAGAATGCGCCCGCGGATCGACACGTTGCCCGTGAAGGGGCACTTCTTGTCGATGTACGTGCCTGAAACGGGGGGGTGGGGGGAGGGGGGATGGTGAGGAGTGAGGGGGAAAACGGTTGATGTTCGTCTCCGTGAGTCTGGGAAGAGTAGTTTCGTTTTGAGACGTCTCGAAACTACACTATAACACACGGGGAATGTTCGTGTCTGTGAGCGGGGAATCGTACGGTGGGACGGCAGGGTGTGTGGGGGAAATCCATGGTGACGAGTGAGGGGGGACCGACCGGTTTTGAGTGGAAATGCGACGGTGAAGCGGGACAGGCAGGAGAGTGGCGGAGGCGCACGTGGGGAATCGAGGACAAGCGGCACGCAGCAGCGACGGCAGTGACACAAGGTACGGAGGTGCACTAGCAGTAACATATCCACGCGCCCTCGATGGCCTCGCGGGGCGTCTCGACGCCAAGCGCACACCTCCGACGTTATGGTCTAATGACAGCCGCACGCCACACGGACGGCACTGACAGCACAGCACATGCAAACAGCGCACCTTCGATGGCCTCGCGGGGCGTCTTGAAGCCAAGCCCCACGTTCTTGTAGTAACGGTTACCCGCCTTGCCGGGCGTCCTCAGCTTCTTCTTCGCCGAGTAGTCGCCGCTGTAAATCGCACGCACGGGCGGGAGGGAGGAAAGGGGTGAGGGAAGGGAGGGAGGAAAGAGAGGGGGGAGGGGGAGGGGAGGGGGAGGAAGAGGCGGCGTGAAGTGGTGAGTGCGTCAAAAAGGGCAGTGAAAGCGAGGGAAATGAGTGAATCAACGGATGGGCCATGAGGGGAGTATTGCAGAACGGCACTAAGATACCGCTTTGCAACGGTCGTCCTGACCACCAATCGGCGCCTCTTGCTAATCCACGAGGTGACTCTTGGGTCGACTCGAAAGTCCCACGTTACAATGTCACATGACCTTCTGAGTCAACTCAGCGGTTGTTTTGAATCACAAACCCAAGCTCCCTAACAATCCACGGGCTGGCAGTAACAGCGTGGCTGATCCCAGCGTCGGTTGTTAGTAATTTCGTTCTGAGACGTCTCAAATCGGAATTACTAACAACCCCTGTTCCCAGACAATCCACGGGCTGGTTTTCAAAGCGTGGCTGATCCAAGGCTCCTGACGATCGGAGCTCCTTAATACGACCAACTCGATTGACAAAGAACATAACATTGATAACGAGACGATGAAAGACGCCATAATGACGCTCACATGCCGTCCTAAATGCGCCTGATCATGATGTGTCCAAGTCTATGGCGTATTCCAGTCTAAGAAGCAACTTACCAGAGGAAGACTCCCTGCTGCTTCTGAAAAGCGCGCTCCGTCTGCGATTATGGGGACAGACAGCAAATCGGATACACACAACCAAGAGAACACGAGACGATTAACGGGCTGGTCTAGCAGCGAGTCGATTACGCATTCTGAGTGTCCGAATCCGACCAGGCAACAAGCCAATGGAATCTTAAAGTTCGGGTGCGAGACTTCTCTGACGGAGTAGACGAGTAACGGGGACGACGGGTAACGGAGACGACGAGGAACCAAGCGGATAATGCCGTCACGATAACGACACCTGCAAACCCTAATACTGCGTTCGTCGTTGAAAACAGGGCTACAGGAAACAAAGCTACTGGAGATCCACTACGTAGGTTATAACACGCTCTTAAGAACGACTAAAAACAACCCGTGGCAGTAGCAGACGCGAGACTGGAGCTTGCCACGTAAAACCCGCTGCTCTGACCTAAAATCGACCCAGAAACCTCCGCTATCAGGACCAGACTCGGACGCAAATTCCGCAGTTTCCCACTCTGCAAGGGAGAGATGATCACCTGTTCGGCCATGCCTGCTGCACGAAGCTGTCCTGGTTCTAGGGAAGGGGTAAGGCAGGTGTGCCAAATAAGAGGTGGAGAAAAGGAAACTAAGATTGGGGGCTTAGAGCGGATGTAGGAGGGGCGAGCGGGGGAGGGTGGGGAAGTGGGAGGTGATGGGGCGGTAGTGTGGCAAACAAGAGGTTCTTGGGTGTGTATTGAAATCCGCAGTGTACTGCGTGTTTTGAATGTGTGTAGTTTGTGTTAGGCGCACCGTGCTTGCCTCCACAGCACCAAGACTATAGCGAGAACGGGTGAAATTCAAGCGCGGTGGAATACCACCGATTGGGTTTCTTCGTTGCTTCATTCAGCGTGGCAATTGCATTTTTAATGCGTGTGGCTGGTGTACCTGACTCCAAATAGATGATGAAGAGAAAGCTGCCGGATCATCTAACAGCGCTTACGTGATATGACCAACCTCTTTTTACAATCATGATGCCGAATCACGCCACGCCAGCCCTTGGAAACTTTTGGTTTGACAATGACCCTCGGCGACATCTGCGATTCGCTCGTTGCAGGCACCGGGGTCGCTCGCTCGCAGCGTCATCTCCGATGCGCACTCCGCCAGCCCCGCAACTGCAACAGCCCCCCTTCCCCCCTCGTCTCCCCCCACCCTGGAGTCACCAAACTGAACTCCCTCCCAAACCAGGCCTCTCGATATCCTAGGGGTCACGCTGCAGTTTCCGAGTTTGCCCGGGATCCAACTCGTTCAGACTGGGTAGCCCTAAAACTTTTGACTGTTTTTGCAGGCAAGAGTTTCGTCAAGCTCGGAATAGGCCACTCCTGACAATGACAGGGGGAGATTTTTTTACTAGGGGCGCGAACGTTGACAGTAGATTTTACAGGGCGGGTCTATCCCGTACTCGGAAATTGGCGGTGGGATAATTCTGGTTGCCTGTCCATGGACGGGTATCGATATTCTGAATGCGTCAAAAACAGGGCTAGGTTAAAATTTCACCCTGTTTTCCTTGACAAATCAGTATAATTACCCTGACTTCCAGAGGCCTGTCCCAAACCAGCCAATCTCGGCGCAATGCCCGTAAATCTCCGCCAATCCCGCATCCGCCATCCGCCTGCGTCCCTCAGCTCTCAGCATCCCCCCAGTCCTGGAATTGCGTGGTCTGATCCGGGGCTGTCTCGAATCTTGCGTCCAGTCCAGCGTGGAATTCCTACTGAAGATTCTCCCTTAGCACGCGTATACAACTGGTAACGTACGGTCGCGAGTGGTATATTACGGTACATTGGACGTTGCACCCTCCATGTCAACCACGCGAGAAATTCAAGGCGGAAAATTAGGCAATCTGCACAAAAGGCGCCATCTCTACTTACCCCAGTTCGCGTATCATCCTCACAGCCCACTCGTACGCAATTCCCCTAGAAATGTATTTCTTCTCCATTCACGCACTTTCCCTATCCTCCAGTTAGGCACCTGGTTTCTCCCCCACCAGCGCATTCTCACCGCTCGTAGTCCAGTGACTGGTCCGAGCTAAATTCTCTCTCCCCGTCTCCATGGCGGACAGCGCGGCGGCGTCGCTGCAGCAGCCGCTCACCGCGAACCCCGCGACGCCACGAAAAAAACGACCATGGTCGATAGTCGATTTCCTCGTCCAATTCCGCTGGATCCTCGTAATTTTCGTCGTGCTGCCCGTCTCCTTCGCCTTCCAGTGCAATAAGGACTTCTGGGACTGGTGGTCGAATCGCAAGAGCTTCGCGGAGCGCGAGCGCGAGCACCAGGCCGCGGTCCAGAAGCTCGTTAATCGCCTCAAATCGCGCGACCGGCGCCGCGACGGGCTCGTGTGCACATCGCGCAAGCCATGGCTGTCGGTGTCGATGCGCAACTCCGACTACAAGCGCGCCCGGCGCTTCGAGGTCGACATGAACGAGTTCGGGCAGATCCTGGCTGTCGATACCGTCAACCGCATCGCGCGCTGCGAGCCGTACGTCAGCATGGGGCAGCTGAGCGCGGTCACCGTGCCGCTGGGATACGCGTTGGAAGTGGTCCCGGAATTGGACGATCTCACGGTGGGCGGGCTGATCAACGGCTATGGCATCGAGGGCTCGTCTCACATCTACGGCCTCTTCCAGGTGGGGCTCGTCTCTTCCAGGTGCCGCCCCCTTCCGCCTCTCCTCCGCCCCTTCTTTTGTGTTGTGTCGACTCAAAGGCACGCTCGTCTCACATCTACGGCCTCTTCCAGGTGCCACCCCCTATCGGCGCCTTCCGACTCTGCTCCGCCCCTTATTCCCACCCTCTTCTTCCTCTCCGCCCCTTATTTTCTAGGCGCCTCAAAAATAGACTCTTCTTCCTTTCCGCCCCTTCCCGCTTCTTCGGCCGATATTCCCGTTCCTTCATTTTGCATTTTTTGCTGGCGATGATTGTCCAATCACGACGCGCTGCTGCCTCGTCTCCTCCTTCCCCCATTCCCCCCTTTCCTCCTGCCCTTCCCCCCCCAAGACACGGTGGAGGCGCACAAGATCGTGCTGGCGGGGAGTCGGTTGCGCTGAGACCGATAGCCTGCCTGCCCCCCCCCCCCCCCCCCGCCCTCCCTCTTCCAGGACACGGTGGAGGCATACGAAATCGTGCTGGCGGACGGCACGCTGGTGCGCGCGACCAAGGACAACGAGCACGCGGACCTCTTCTACGCCATCCCCTGGTCGCAGGGCACTCTAGGCCTCTTAGTCGCCGCTGAGATCCGCATGATCCCCGTTAAAGAGTTCATGCGCGTCACCTACACCCCAGTTAAAGGCTCGCTGCGCGAAATCACCCAGGCTTATATCGATTCGTTCTGCCCTCGCGATGGGGACCAGGACAATCCGGATAAGGTTCCGGATTTCGTGGAGGGGATGGTGTACACGCGGTCCGAGGGCGTCATGATGACCGGGCGGTACGCGTCGCGCGAGGAGGCGACGCGGCCCGGGAACGTAGTTAACAACTGCGGGTGGTGGTGGACGCGGTGGTTCTACCAACACGCGACGGACGCGTTAACGCGCGGCGAGTTCGTAGAATATATTCCCACCAGACAGTACTACCACCGCCATACGCGCTCTCTATACTGGGAGGGGAAGTTAATTCTGCCCTTTGCGGACCAGTGGTGGTTCCGGGTGCTCCTGGGATGGATGATGCCGCCCAAGGTGTCCTTCTTAAAGCTCACGCAGGGCGAGGCGATCCGCAACTACTACCACGAGCGCCACGTGTGCCAGGACATGCTCGTGCCCCTCTACAAGGTGGCTGAGGCGCTCGAGCTTAACGACCAGGAATTCGAGGTGCGTCATAGAGGGGGGAGGGGGGAGGGGGAGGGGGGAGGGGGAGGGGGGAGGGGGGAGGGGGGAGGGGGGAGGGGGAGGGGGGAGGGGGGAGGAGGGGACTGAGTAGGGGGAGGATGGGGATGAGAAGACGACATGCTGGTGCTCGTCCACAAGGTGTCTGAGGCGCTTGAGCTGAACGACCGGGAGTTCGAAGTGCGTGAAGGACTGGGGTGGGCAGTGATATGGGACCATGGAGGGGGAGAGACGCGGGGGGGGGAGGGTATGAGAACCACGCGTGCCAGTTTTGAGGCGCCTCAAAACTGGAGGGTATGAGAACCACGCGTGCCTGCCAGGACAGGCTGGTGCCCGTCTCCAAGGTGGCTGAGGCGCTTGAGCTGAGCGGCCAGGAGTTCAAGGTGCGTGAAGGGAAGGCTTGGGGAGAGGTGGCCGGGAGGGGCAGGGGGATGAGAACAAAGCGCCGCGTGTGGCAGGACATGCTGGTGCCCGTGTATAAGGTGGCTGAGGCGCTTGAATTGAACGAGGTGGGTCCTGGGGACGACGGGAGGAGACGAGGAGGTAGGGGGAGAGGGGGAGAGGGGGAGAGGGGGAGAGAGGGAGAGATAGTGGGGAGGGGAGAGGGGGAGAGGAGGAGAGGGGGGGAGAAAGTGGGGAGGGGGGAGGTAAGAAGGGAACACTGCGTGTGCTGGGACATGCTGGTTCAGGTGTACAATGTGGCCGAGGCACTCGAGCTGAACGACCAGCAATTCGAGGTGCGTGCAGGGGGAAGGAAGGGGGGGGGATGTGCTGGGGGTGGAGGGGGGGAAGAGAATGGGGGGGAAGAGGAGAGTGTCACGTGTGCAGCATGGCACACCATGTGGCAGATGAAACCCGCCTCACAGCACCCTCTCCCCCCTCTCTTCATCTCCCCCCGTCCCCCTTTCCCTCCCCTTATCAGGTCTACCCCATCTGGCTGTGCACACACCGCCTGTTCACCCACCCCATGCGCTGGATGATGAACCCGGAGCCTGGCTTCTGGCCGCACAGGAGGCCGCGACACCCAGCAGGTGACATCTTAACTCTGCCTGCCCCGATTTTCTCTGCATCCCTTTTCCACTTCCCTGCCTGCACTCTCCCCCCACTCCCCCCCCCCAGGTGTACCCCATCTGGTTGTGCCCGCACCGCCTCTTCGCCCACCCGATGCGCCAAATGATCAACCCCGAACCGGATTTCTGGGCGCACAAGCGGCAGGGCGACACCCCCACGGCGCAGATGTACACGGACATCGGGCTCTACTACTCGCCCGGCGCCGTGCTGCAAGGGGAGGAGTTTGACGGCGTGGCGGCTGTTCAGCGGATGGAGAAGTGGCTCATCGAGAACGGGTCGTTCCAGGTGGGTTGCTCTGGAAAGGTGCTCTCTGGCGCCTGTAAAGCAGGATGCACACTGATATACACCTGTGCTACGCGCCCGGTGATATAGGCCTGTGCTACGCGCCCGGTGCCGTGCTGTGAGGGTAGGAGTTTGACGGCGTTGCTGCTGTGAACAGGATGGAGAAGTGGCTCGTCAAGAACGGGTCGTTCCAGGTGGGTTGGATGGCAGCAGCAACTCGTTTCAGGCTGGTTATTGTGGGCAGGGATGGTCCAAGGGAGGATAGTGTGGAAGAGACGAACGCGTGGGAGCAAACGCACCTTGACACAGCTTACATGAGGTGTATTTTGAGAAGCTATAGCGACATAGGATCAGGGATCCCCTTGATGGCTCTTTCCCCTGTCCCATGTTCATTCGCCCACCATCCTTTCACCCACCATCCCATACCCACCATCCCATGCTCATCACACTTACCCACCACACTTACCCACCATCCCAGGCCCTCTATGCAGTCACAGAGCTGAACAAGCGCGATGGCTGGCGCACGCTCGACGCCCCTTCTATGCTGCATGCCGGGAGAAGCCTAACGCAGTGGACATGATCATGAGCGTCCCTCTCCCACCTCCCGCCTCCCATTCCCCAACCTCACCAATGCGGTAACAGAGCTGAACGAGCGCGATTTCTGCCACATGTTCGGCGCATCCCTCTATGCTGCATGCCGGCACAAGTACAACGCGGTGGGCTCGATCATGAGCTCCCGTCTCCTCCTTCCCAACCCCTCCTCACCCCCGCTCTCCTCCAGGCACTGTATGCGGTAACAGAGCTGAATGAGCGCGACTTTTGGCGCATGTTCGACGCGTCGCTGTATGCGGCGTGCCGGGAGAAGTACAATGCAGTGGGCACGTTCATGAGCGTGTACTACAAGTCCAAGAAGGGCCGCAAGACCGAGGCCGAGGTGATGCAGGAGGAGCGCAAGGAGAAGGAGGCGCCCGTGCTGGAAGCGGTTTAGCGCGCCCTGGCTGGGGGTGTGGGGTATGGGGTTTGGGGTGGGGGGTGTGGGGTGTGGGGGCGTGGGTTGTTGGGGGGTTGATGGAACAAGCATATCACTGTTGGCATTTCATGTGTGTACTATGCAGTTTAAAAGGGGCCTCAAGACGAAGGCCAAGGTGTTGCAGGAAGCAAGGAGGAGAGTCCAGTGCGTGAGAGCAAGGAGGAGGAGATGCCAATGCATGAGACTGTTTAGCATGCTAGCAGATAGATGAGCTTTTGTGCTTGACAGGAAGGGCGGGGGGCAGGGAATGCGGTCGTGAGTGCAGAGTTACCAAGTCCTAGCAGAGATAAAATTCAGATGAAGACAAGTGAGAAGGAAATACACGTGTGCCTTACTATCTGATACTGCCAAATGTGTGCACTTTCTCTTAAGTGCGAAGTGTATTTTTGAGGTGCCCAAATAATAGATTCAACTCAACCCTTACCATCTAAGGGTGTATTCCTACTCACAAGGGTGAGGGTAGGACTAGTGCACAACCAATTTGAACTGCACTAAAACTGTCAACTTATACATTTGCTGTGCATGTATATTTATAGGCTAGACAGGTTTGTGCTCTTAGAGAGTACAACCCAAACCCTTCTATGGTATCACCCTGTATTCTCTTGCTACAGTTCACTTCGTTACTCTGACATGGTATTACGCTTGGTAGGTCCCACCCACCCGCGCTTCCGCCCTGGCCTACCGTAGAGCGCCCCGCCCCTAGCGCGCGCCTGCCCTAGCCCGCCGCGCCGCGCTGACCTAGTTCGCCGCGCGAGCCCTAGCCCGCCGCGCTGGCCCTCTGCTCGCCGCGTCGGCCCCAGCTCGCCGCGCCGCGCTGGTCCCTAGCTCGCCGCGCCGCTCTGGCCCCTAGCCCGCCGTGCCGTGCTGGCCCTAGCCCGCCGCGCTGGCCCTAGCTCGCCGCGCAGGCCCCTGCTCGTCGCGGCTGCCCCAGCTCGCTGCGCCGCCCCAGCTTGCTGGGTCGGCTCCAGCTCGCCGCGCCGCCCCGGCTCGCCGCGTCGGCCCCAGCTCGCCCCGGCTTTAAACAGCCCTCACCCCCCGACCCTCAGCCGACGACCTTCCGCCCCCAATCCTCAGCCCCGCCCCCAGCCACCGGCATCCCCTGGCAATGGCCTCGCACCACCTTGGATTGGGCACCTCCTGCCATGCACAGCCCTCGGCTAGCCCCTGGGGTTTGGAGGAAAGGTGAGGAGGGGGGGAGGGAGGGAAGACATAAGGACAGTAGAAAGACTGGCGTGGATGCAACACTACCAGCCACACTCAACCCTGGGCTAGTGCCTGGGGGCGATGGAAGATGGGAGAGTGGAACGAGGAAAGGGAGGGGGAGGGGAGGAGGGAGGAATGGAGAAGTGGTGTGATGCAAAGGGCAAGGGGGAAGGAAGAGATGGCATGGCGGGGAGGATGAAAGGGGAGGATGGATGGGGAAGAAAGGTATTGGAGGGAAAAGGCATGTTAAAGTTTATCACCCCATGCAACTGCCACCTCAGCCAAGCGTGATGACTGGAATAAGAATTCAGCAACAGTGGGCTTGAGGAAGCTAAAAAGTCAGAGGGGTGTTCCGAGAATTGAACTCGGGACCTCTCGCACCCTAAGCGAGAATCATGCCACTAGACCAAACACCCTTTGTTTGAGAGTAAATATTTTAAAACAAAGTTTTATTCTTAGTGCTTCCCCAGCAGCCGGATAGGGCGAGCTCCCCCAGCTGAGCGGATGATCAACCCGGAGCCAAGCATTTGGGAGCACAGGAGGCAGGGCGGCACCCAGCAGTTCACATCTTAACTCAGCCTGTCCCTTTTTCCCCTCATCCCTTTTCCACTTCACCTCAGGTATGCCTCATCTGGCTATGCCCGCACCGCCTGTTCACCCACCCCATGCGCCAGATGATCAACCTCAACCCAGGCTTCTGGCAGCACAGAAAGCAGGGTGACACCCTGGGAGCTCAGTTTTTCCCCTGCTTGCTCCCTCTCCCTTCCCCCCCCTCAGGTGTACCCCATTTGGCTGTGCCTCCACCGCCTCTTCGCCCACCCCATGCGTCAGATGATCAACCCTGAGCCGGATTTCTGGATGCAAAAGCGGCAGGGCGACATGCCCAATGTACACGGACATCAGGCTCTACCATGCTCTTGGTGCTGTGTTGCGAGGGGAGGAGTTTGACGGCGGGGCGGCTGTGCAGCGGATGGAGAAGTGGCTCATCGAAAACGGGTCCTTCCAGGTGGACGGTTGTTCTGGGGAAGGTGTGTTTAGCAGCGTTTAGGGCATGAGACGGGGTGCCACCCCCACAGCGCAGATGTATACGGACATCGGACTGTACTACGCGCCGGGTGCCATACTGTGGGGGGAGGAGTCAAACGGGGTGGATGCGGCATGGAGAAGTGAGTCATTGAGAACGGGTCCTTCCAGGTGGGTGGTTATTCTGGAGAAGGTGCTTCTGAGGCGGGCGCTTCCTGTGGGGGAGGATGGAGAAATTGGAACGCATGAGAGGACGCACACTCACAGCTGAGAATTAGCCCTTGGCACCCCTTCTCCATGCACGCCGTCCCATACCTCTCCACCACCCTTCCCCACCATCTCGAATCCACCACCATTGCTGTGCATTGCATGCAGTAGGAGAGCTGAATAAGCGCACTTTCTGGTGCATGCGCGACGCGTCCCCTCATCCCACTATGTCGTGTGCTCGGAGGAACATCTCCGTCCCCTCAACCCTAACGCTGCTCTCCCTCCCTCATCTCCAGGCACTGTATGCGGTCACAGAGCTGAACGAGCAGGATTTCTTGTGCATGTTTGACGCGTCCCTGTATGTGGGATGCCGGGAGAAGTACTATGCCGTGGGCACGTACATGACCGAGAAGGGCTGCAAGACTAAGGCCGAGGTGATGCAGGAGGAGCACAAGGAGAAGGAAATGCCCATGCTGGAAGCGGTTTAGTTCAACGTTCAGCGCGCACTGGGTAGGAGGTTGGTCAGTAGTAGGGGATGGCTTTGATTTGGCACTTAAGTCAAGAGGCACCCGTGCTGGAAACCGTTTAGTTCAGCAAGCACTGGGTGGGAGGTTGGTCGGCAGCTGAGGATGAGAGGGTGTGGCGCGTGGCAGACAGAAGGTGGGGAATGGGATAGCATTCATGAGGATTTCACTACCAGGAACCTCTGCGCTCAAAAGGGGGGGGGGGTGGAGGGGGGCCCGGGGGGAGTTCATTTATGAGCGTAAAACAGCCATCTCAACAGAAAAAAAAGGAGGGTACGCGGAAAGACTAGTGACGTCCCCTATGACTCATGCCTAGCATGCGTTGGCTGGACTATCTCCGTTGCTGAAGCTGAAGCTATTTCCCGAAGCTGTTCTCACTACACCTTTTCTCTTATTTAGTACAACGGTTTTTCACGCGGCTTGAAACCATAAGCAGGAAATGGTTAAACACGGGCAAAAAGGATCTCGAAGGGGAAAACCTACAGTAAACACAGACTCATGGTTACAAAGTCTCGCTCATGCACTAGATAAGTTGCTTGCGCGATGTCCTAGCTCTAAAACTCACAATTGTCGAAATTCGACTTGGTTGTTCGCTATCCTTCAGACTGCAGCCAATCAGGTTCAGTGTCAACGCAAGTCACGCTAAGAACCTAGTAGGTCGGATTGCAATTTGGACTGTTCCTATTGGGACATTAGAGGGGAACAGGTGTACTAGGACTTCAACGTACTAACTTCACTTCCTTTCTCTGTAAATGTAACTTCACTAGCTTCTCTGTCGCTGCTCGGTCCAGTACCCAGTCCAGTGCCCAGTCCAGTGCCCAGTCGAGTGCCCATTCCAGTGCCCGGTCCAGTGCCCAGTCCAGTGCCTAGTCCAGAGCCGGTCCAGTGCCCGGACCACTGCCCGAACCACTGCCCGGTCCAGTGCATGGACCACTACCCGATCCAATGCCTGGTCCACTGCTCGGTCCACAGCCCAGTCCAGTGCCCCGTACACTACCCGATCCAGTGCCTGGTCAAGTGCTCGGTCTACGGCAAGGTCAACTGCCCGGTCCACTACCTGGTCAAGTGCCTGGTCCAGTGCCCGGTCTAGTGCACAGTCCAGTGTCCAGTGCCCGGTCCAGTGCTTGCTCCAGTGCCCGGTCCACTGCCACGTCCACTGCCAGGTCCACTGCCCGGTCCAGTGCCCGGCCCACTGCTAGGTCAACTGCCAGGTCCACTCCCGGGTCCGCTGTTCGGTCCAATGCCCGATCCAATGCCCATTCCAATGCCCATTCCAATGCCCAGTCCAATGCCTCATCAACAGCCCAGACCACTACCCGGTCTAGTGCTCAGTCCACTACCCAGACCACTGCCTGGTCCAAGGCCCAGTCCGCTGCCTAGTCGAATGCACGGTCGACTGCTGGGTCTACTGCCCGCTCGAGTGGCTAGTCCACTACCCGGTCCACTACACAGTCGAGTGCCTGTGCCCGGTCGAGTGCCTGGCTGGTCAAGTGCGTGGTCCAGTGCCTGGTCCACTGCCCAGTCCACTGCACGGTCCACTGCCCGATCCACTGCCTGGTTGACTGCCCAGTCCACTGCCTGGTCCACTGCGCAGTCTAGTGCCCGGTCCAGTGCCCGGTCCAGTGCCCAGTCCACTGCTTGGTCCACTGCCCGGTCCACTTCCCGGTCCACTGCCCGGTCCGGTTCCCGGTCCAGTTCCCGGTCCAGTGCCCGGTCCAGTGCCTGGTCCACTGCCTAGTCCAGTGCCTGGTCCACGGCTTGGTCCACTGCCTGGACCAGTGCCAGGTCCAGTGTGCGGTCCAATGCCCGGTCCACTTCCCGGTCCACTACCCAGTCGACTTCTCCATCCAGTGCCCGGTCCACTGCCTGTCCAGTGCCCGGTTCACTGCCTCGTCCATTGCTCGGTCCACTGCCCCATCCACTGCCTGGTCCAATTCCCGGTCCACTTCCCGATCCACTGCCCCGTCCAGTGCCTTGTCACGTGCCCGGTCCAGTGCCTGGTCCACTGCAGGTCCAGTGCCGGTCCAATGCCCGGTCTAGTGCCCAGTCCAGTGCCCATACCAGTGCCCGGTCCAGTGCCTGGCCCAGTGCCCGGTCCACAGCCCAGTCCACTGCCTGGTCCACTGCCCGGTTCACTGCTCGGTCCACTGCCCGGTCCACTGCCCGACCAACAGCCCGGTCCTGTGCCCTGTCCACTGCCCGGTCCACTGCCTCATCCACTGCCCGGTCCAGGAGCTCGGTCCACTGCTCAGTCCATAGACCAGTCCAAGGCCAGGTCCACTGCCCAGTCCACTGCCCGGTCCACTGCCCAGTCCACTTCCCGGTCCACAGCCCGGTCCACTGCCCGGTCCACTCCCCCGTCCACTGCGAGGTCCACTGCCCGGTCCACTGCGAGGTCCACTGCCCGGTCCACTGCTTGGACCACTGCCCGGTTCACTGCCCAGTCCACTGCCTGGTCCATTGCCCAGTCCACTGCCTGGTCCACTACCCAATCCACTGCCCCGTCCACTGCCCCGTCCACTGCCGCGTCCACTACCCCGTCCACTACCTGGTCCACTGCCCGGTCGGTTCAGTGCCCGGTCCAAGACCTGGTCCATAGGATGGTCTACTACCAGGTCCACTGCTCGGTTCGCTACCCGGTCCGCTGCCTGGTCCAGTGAACGGTCCACTGGCCGTTCCACTGCCCGGTCCACTTCCCCATCCACTGCCCCGTCCACTGGCCGGTCCATTGCCTGTTCCACTGTCCAGTCTGCTGCCCGGTCCAGTGCCCCACCCCTTCCCCGGTCCACTGCCCAGTCCACTCCAGTCCAATGTCCGATACAGTGCCTGGTCCAGTGCCCGGTCCAATTCCAGGTCCACTGCCTGGTCCACTGCCCAGTCCACTGCCCGGTCCACTGCCCGGTCCACTGCCCAGTCCAAGGCCCGCTAAACTGCTCGGTCACCTGCGCGGACCACTGCCTGGTTCAGTGCCGGGTCCACTGCGCGCTCCAGTGACCTGTCCACTGCCCGGTCCACTGCCCGGTCCACTGCCCGGTCCACTGCCCGGTCCACTCCCTGTCCACTGCCCGGTCCACTGCCCTGTCCACTGCCCAGTCCACTCCCGGTCCACTGTCCAGTCCACTGCTCAGTCCACTGCCAGGTCCACTGCCCAGTCCACCGTCCGGTCCAGTTTCCGGTCCAGTGCCCGGTCCAGTGCCCGGTCCAGTGCCCGGTCCGGTGCCAGTCCACTGCCCGTCAACTGCCCCGTCCACTGCTTGGTCTAAAACCCGGTCCGCTGCCTGTTACGGTGCCCGGTCCAGTGCCCGGTCCGGTGCCGGTCAACTGCCCCGTCAACTGCCCCATCCACTGCCCGGTCGACTGCCTGGTCTATAACCCGGTCTGCTGCCTGTTACGGTGCCCGGTGCACGGTCCACTGCCTGGTCCATTGTCTGGTCCAAGGCCTGGTCCACTGCCTGGTCCAAGTCCCGGTCCACTGCCCGGTGCACTGCGAGGACAACTGCCCGGTCCATTGCACGGTCATTTGCCCACTGCTCGGTCCACTGCCCACTGCTCGGTCCACTGCCCGGTCCACTGCCCACTGCCCGGTCCACTGCCCACTGCTCGGTCCACTGCCCGGTCCAGTGCTGGGTCCACTGCCCAGTCCACTGCCCGGTCCACTGCCCCGTCCACTCCCGGTCCACTGACCAGTCCAAGGCCCGGTTCAGTGCCCATTCCAAGACCCAGTCCACTGCTGGGTCAACTGCCCAGTCCACTGCACGGTCCACTGCCCCGTCCACTGCCCCATCCACTGCCCAGTCCCCTGCCCGGTCCACTCCCAGTCCACTGTCTGGTCCAGTGCCCGGCCCAGTTCCCGGTCCACTGCCCTGGTCCACAGCCCGGTCCAAGGCCCGGTCCATTGCCGAGACCACTGCCTGGTCCACTGCCCAGTCCACTTCCCGGTCCACAGCCCGGTACACTGCTTGGTCCACTGCCCAGTCCACTGTGAGGTCCAGTGCCCGGTCCACTGCCCGGACCACTGCCCGGTCCACTGCCCAGTCCACTGCCCGGTCCACTGCCAGGTCCACTGCCCGGTCCACTGCCCCGTCCACTGCCCGGTCCGCTGCCCGGTCGGTCTAGTTCCCGGTCCAAGACCCGGTCCACCGCCTTGTCCACTACTGGCTCCACTGCCCGGTCCGCTGCCTGGTACGCTGCCCGATCCAGTGCCCGGTCCAGTGGCCGTTCCACTGCCCGGTCCACTGCCCCGTCCACTGCCCCATCCACTGCCCGGTCCACTGCCTCTTCCACTGTCCAGTCCGCTGCCCGGTCCTGTGCCCGGTCCAGTGCCCCGCCCACTCCCCGATCCACTGCCTGGTCCACTCCCAGTCTACTGTCCTATCCAGTGCTCGGTCCAGTGCCCGGTCCACTCCCGGTCCACTGTCTGGTCCACTGCTCGGTCCACTGCCAGGTCCAGTGCCCGGTCCAGTGCCCGATCCAGTGGCTGGATAAAGACCTGGTCCACTCCCTGGTCCACTGCCCGGTCCACTGCCCAGTCAACTGCCTGGTCCACTGCCCGGTCCACTTCCCGTTCCTCTGCTCGGTCCACTGCCCAGTCCAGTGCCTGGTCTGCTGCCTGGTTCCTTGCCTGGTCCAGTGCCCGGTCCAGTGCGTCCACTGCCCGGTCCACTGCCCGGTCCACTCCCAGTCCACTGTCTGGTCCAGTGCCCAGCCCAGTGCCTGGTGCACTGCCCTGGTCCACAGCCTGGTCCAATGCCCGGTCCACTGCCCCGTCCACTGCCCCGTCCACTTCCAGGTCCACTGCCCGGTCCACTACCCGGTCCGCTGCCTGGTCCAGTGCTGGGTCCACTGCCCGGTCTACAGCGCAGTCCACTACCTGGTCCACTCCCGGTCCTTTGTCCGGTCCACTGGGTTCTTCTTAGGAGCGGACCGGTTAGTGGACCGGGCAGTGGATTGGGCACAGCAGGCCCTTCCTTGCCTTGCCTTCCTATGCCTGCCTACTTAAGGATCCTTCTCCTCTCATTTCTTAGTATTGGTTTGTGGGTTCTTCTTCTTAGCAGCGGCTTGCGCGGCCTTCGGCCGCGCCACGTGGGGAAGAGGAAGATAAGCAGCAACAAGGCGCCTTTACAATGACTGCCTACAACAAACACGCATGAGGAAGACTACCTGGGTGACTACCTGCCGGGTCACCCGCGGCTTCAGGTCAGCGGTGACCCTCTCGCCGGCCCTTCCGCTCCTGGTACAGGGGCAGCCGCCCGCGAAGGGGCTGCTCCTCTATCGCCGCCGCCACATCAGGCGGGACCCGGCCCGCCCGACCCCGCTAACGTCTGCACCACGCGCTCGCCCACCGCCTGAAGAAGCGACACGGCGGCCCCGATGGCGTCTGCAGCAGCCCCGATGGCGTCTGCAGCTGTACAGCTGCT